GTATAGGCGTCTTAGAGGTGACCTAATAGCTTACAGTATCCTTAACACTTCTGGACATCCCGTTAAACACCCACTTGAGTTTAGCTTCAACACAAACCTAAGGGGTAACTTCCAGAAACTAGAGACACAACACAGCAGAACAGACTGTAGACGCATCTTCCACTCCTCAAGAGTTGTCAAATGCTGGAATTCGCTGCTGCCTTAGCTAGTCCAAGCAACTTCCTAGAAGTTGTTTAAAAGGCAACTTGACTTTTTCTTAAGGACTTAGGATAATGTCTTACTATGATTCCTCACTTCTTTCTTCTCCATTGTTGTTAATATACCTAGGTTCCTTCCTGGAGGTATTGGTGATCCACAGCGAATGTAGTGAAGGAGAACACAGGTGAGAACAACCGAATTGTATTTAGCACAAAATTACAAAGTTACTTGGTAAAATAGAAAAACCATGTAGTAAATTGTTAATTTGCAAAATATCAATGCATCATATCAACCTGGATTGTTTCTGTTGCAAACATCAACCCACTGTCCCACATTTCATTGTTCATTCGTTTTCTTACAAATTGCATTGTGTTGTCGCTTTTCCTTTCTTGATCTTCCCCCATCTTCTGCTGCCAGACATTGCGTTTTCAACTCGCGTCATATACTACTTACATCAATATAATTAGAACGCACCACAATAGAATTTAAACTGTTTAATTTAGTGATCTTCCTTTTCAATTCATAAAATTGATACAACTGGCTTGAATAGATACCAATAATAGTTAAACATGTATCTTTCATATTTAAGTAATATCATTTAAGAATATCATTTTAGTTATTATTAAATTAAGGTTGATTAATTGCATATTTAATATATTGCTAGATTGGATATTATTAGAAACTCAAATATTTTAAGTTCAGTTTTAGTAATGAGTTATATAAAAAAAGATAGATGTTGGCTAATATTGGCATTCAGGACACACTTTTTTCAATTTGGGACATGTTTATTGGATGTATTTCCATCTCAGAGTTGATATTCACTCGGACACTCGAATCTAGTACCATGCACCACACTACTAGGCACGGAAGCCCGTTAAGCGAAACCAACCATTTGAACGTGTACTTGAAGTGAAGACAATACCAGCACTCGAGTAAGAATTCACGTGTCTCGAGAAGACAGAATAAAAGGGAAGGTGAGATTTAGCGAAACAGAAGCGTGTCGACAAAATCCTTCGCTTAGAGTGTATTCGAGTCGACTAGTCTCGGGAGCGAATTCCATGAAAGATCACATAGATATGTTATTCTGTTTAGGAGTTATATATACGAATCCCCGTAGTCAATGAAATAAATCACATGAACTAGAAATATTATTCAATACTCCCGAGACCTTGTGAGTATAACGAGAGATTCTTAAAACAATTCATACGCGCGCTACACGAAAGCTCATAGTCTAGGAAATAGAACCTCTGAGCTGTGCTTGATGTTTAATTAATTAAGTCCTGATATAATTGTTGTCACAGATACGTACCTAACGTTAGATGCAGACTGTTTTACAACCACTGTAGAATAAATCTGTATTAGAAGCAATAGAATTACAACTCATAAGGGTGGTCACTTTCTTCCTGTTTTAAAAAGGCACGCTTCAATAGTCAGTGTCGAAATAACCTGGCCGCCAAACTTTAGTTGGTAGAAGAAATAAATGGGGCATTTCTGTCATCGCAGTTAAGATGTGGAGTTCAATTAACTTTTATCAATTCAATAAACTTGGGAACTATGTTTTTGACGTTAATAATTTGATCTCGATTTTTGAGATTTCCGGGAAACGGAAATAGGTTGAGACATTTTAGTCGGAACTTCCTTTCACTAGAGTGGCTCTCGCAGTTTAATCGTTTTAAGCACATTTACTTCATGTTCGAAAAAACCATAGATCACAAACGTAGATGATCTGCGTCGAACGATTGGGGGCCACTGGATTAAGATGAGAATGGTACGACGAACTAGCTGACTTCGAAGTCAGCATCTTACGTGGATTACCCTTTCGTCCCATTAAGGTAATATGGCTGCTTTGAAGACCGTATTACTCAGAGGACGTTATTACAAACGTATGTTAATAAGAGTAGGTATGAGGAACTTGATAAATATCGATAAACTGTTCGACATTTACTGACTCGACTGCCAAATGATTTGGCTACGGCCCAGTGACATTGTACTGGCTCCACAAAATGAATATACCCCTGAAACCTATATTTTAAATGCAACTTCAAACATGTTGGGTACAATTCTTTATTCAAATTACCATGACCAGCAAGTCTTTGTCAGTGGCCATTTTACACTTACCAGTAACTGTATTGTCCTCAATATGACGTCGAAATCTTTATGATTAATAACTTTATGCAAACAATCCTAGTGAAGATGCTACAGGCATTGAAGTTTGACAATGCTTTAATCAGTAACACCTAATATGAAGCGTGCCCACCAAGTGAGATCAAAAGACAGAAGCGAGGAGGTTGGAATATACATTTGATATTGAGCACGGCGTTCTCACTCGTGATCTAGTGCACACGCACGACCGAGCATCTTCAGCCAAGTGAGTCCATTAATACTGATGTGTTCAGCACCCAATGTCGAAGACTAACAGAGCTATTGATTTCGAAGGGCTTTATTTACCGCTACATATCACTCCCCTCCATGGTGGGGTAGTGATCACTCTAAGACGTGGACAGCCAGAAGTTTAAACCCAACGAGTTTGTCGTTAATAAACACTGTTCTGATAGCTTGGTATGCTTAGCAGCGTCTGGTCGTCTTTCCTCACTATAACGGACCATATAATGCAACATGATAATAAAGAAACAAAGTACAATGAAAATTTCGGTTCCTAGGAAACTTCATCGTTCGTTTTATCGTCTTTTCCAGCCGTCTTATAAAAGTAAAAGAGAACATGTAAGTGCATGTCGAAATACACTCGTACACGCGTAAAGACACAAAGCGGGCGAAAAAAGGTAGATAAACTCATGCACATGCGATAGCGCAAAAGCGATTTTAAAAGAATTTTTTGGATATTTTTAAGGCAAAAATTAAGTATACACATATTAGCAAGAGAAATCTTGTTTCTTTTGGAATAAATATATAAGTGTAAGCATATTCAATTTTTTATTATGTGTAATACAAAGGAAAATCGAGATGAAGCAAACTGCTAACTAGTGTCTTAGGTGCAATAATCGTTTAACTGTTCCGAAAATCCTACCTTCCTTCTAGAACGCGTTGTTTTTAGTTTATTTTCTGAAACTGTCAAAGTATTTTCGTGCGTGTTGACCGTCGGATGCGGTATTATAAGTGTAAGAGCCGCGTCGTTCGATTGTACCGAAGGAAAATCGATGTGGATCAGATTTCCTTCTAGATACGCTGCTTTGAAGCGATTGATGCTGATGTTATCGTTGGTTCCGTTCTTATCGATTATATAGTACTTAGGTTTGTGTTGAAGAACTTTGAAAGGTCCTTTTTATGCTGATTCGAGCGGTCATCGATGCGAGTCTCGACGTACGAAGACGTGTGTACTATATCACAAGTCGGGTTGCACGAAAACATCAGTTGATTGAGTTCGAGTGGAAGCAGGTTTAACCGAACCCATTGCGTTTGTAAGCCTGTTCATGTAGGAGGTTAGATCCATGTTCATTGAAGAGGACGAAGGATCCACGAATTCTCCTCGAAGTCGAAGTGCCGTTCCACAAACGAGTTGAGCCGCAGTGCATCCAATGTCAGCTTTCACTGCATTGCGAATACCTAGTCAGACGAGTGGAAGAGCGTCGGTGCACTGTGAAACGTTTGCAGCTGATAGTGAAGCTTTTAATTGTCGGTGAAAACGTTCTACCAACCCGTTTACTTGTGGGTGATAGGCAGACATTCGGAAGCAAGTGATTCCTAATAGTGTGGTTAGACAACGGGAAAGTCCACATTCGAACTGGCGTCCGCGATCTGTAGTGACGGTTGAAGGGCAGCCAAAGCTTGCTACCCATCGTTTGATGAAGGCGCGGGTCACTGTTTCGGCAGTATTGTCCTTGATAACTACTGCTTCTGGCCACGTAGGTTAAAAGATAAGAGTATCCATTTGAATCTGGTAAATGTCCAACCAAATCCAGATGAACACGGTAGAAACGAGCATCAGGAGTTTTAAATGAACATAAGGGATATTTGTTGTTATTCAAATTATCAAGACCAGAAAGGCTTTGTCAGTGGCCCTTTTAAATTTATCAGCAATTATGTTGTCCACAATATGAAGCCTAAATCTTTATGATCAATAACTTTATGCAAGCATTTCTATGTATTTTGTTGATTGACGGATATTTATGGCTTCATAACGATTTCGTGTGTAATAACCGTACAATCGAGGATCCCAAACCCAGTCAAACCGCCTTCCTGACTTCTACAGGATTCAGGAAGATGGTTTGGAGGTATATTTTGGAAAATATTCGGTGTGTTGAGAAGTGGGTGATCTAAGATCAACAACTGTTGGGCGGGATGTGTAGTATAGAGTACCTAATAATGGTCTGGTGAAGAAGCTTGACCGTGCACCTTCAACTAAGGTGTTCCCAGTAAAATCAATGAAGCCAAGACCAATGCTGAAGACTTATAGAACGTTTTGTTGTCAGAATATATTACCACAACAATGTGAATGAATTTTAGGATGTACGAAATAACGACAACTATGAAACAGATATGTACTAGCAAATGTGTAATGAACCAACGCGAAATTTTTCTCCCAAACTCGGAAATGTCCATAAACGTTAATTATGAGTTTGACCCGAAGCTTCTGGTAGGACAAAAACACAACAAAGGCTGATCATAATAAAAAGTGGAAAAAAATTACTTTTGCTCTTGGGTCAGCTAGCATGTGAAGAAAACTGCGAAGACTACCTGCATCAATAAGTCACCATTTTGGATTTTCAGAGTTAATTGTACGTGCAAAACCTAGATTCTTGATTTTCTTTGTTACCCTTGTGACCTTGAGTTCCTGACCTTCATTTATGTCTAACAATTGTCACTTATCACTAACTGAGAATAAACTCATTACTATCGGCGTTATTGGGCTTCCAGGTTCAGGAAAATCATGCTTTTGCAATAGATTTGTTTTTCGTCACCCAGATTTGTACGTCAGGGATTCTCATTCTATTAGTGATACCTCGCAATCCTGCGATGCCAATCTAAGTGATAATCGTTGGCTGTACTGGGGATGTGCGTGCCGTCAGATAGATGGAAGTACCATAAAATTTCAAATACTAGAACACACGAAGTTCCCGGACGGTGTATCCTACTCAATACCTCCATACTCAACATGTAATTACGATATCAATCAGTTTTTAGAATATATTCATAAAAGCATTGAAATTCATTTGGTATCTAAAAATAAGTTAACCTATGCGTGTAAGAAAGAAGTGTGCAAAGGTTCAAGTATCGATGATTGCTTTGGATCAAACGAAGTGAAGGTTGATGGATTTATTTTGATTTTTGATTCTACCACTTGCACGAGTAAGACTCACTGTGTAGATCCAAGCTACTTATGCAACTCAACCATTCTGCAGGAGTCATTGAACTGCCTTTCAAGAGTTCAAAAACCAGCCGTCGTTGTGTTGACTAAGTTGGATAATTGTGATATTTCTAAATTAGGACTAGATGTTTTTCTCAAGTCAAATGAATTCAAGAAATTTCCTGTGATTGAGACTTCGGCACACGAAAATGTTAATATCGAAGAAGCGTTCCTTACTCTTTACAGGCTTATGGAGCCTAAAACTCGTGTTCATAAATGGAGACACATTTCATATATAGGAGCTGCTTATAAACGGAGTCAGGTGGTCAATTCAGCGATGCATTCATTTATACGTCTAGTGTTCATATCTCCTCCGGAATTTTTAACTGATTGGGAAACCTTCATGGGAAGATACAGCCATCACACTGATGTAGTAAACTATATATACCTGGTTGGTTCTTTAAATGCAAGGTACAAATTCAAGGCTGTAGTTGAGGAACGTTTCAGAACGACAAAGCTGAACTCACTGAATAAAGTGCCAGGTATCCTTATGCATCTGTTGCCGAATCTGGACACGGTTCATGGTTTGTAAGTCCTATTATTAACAACTTAATATACAAAATTCATTAATGTTATACAATGTTTTCTGGCTAACTGGCTGCTTTAAGATTATCTGGTATTATCCTTAAGTTTCATCTACTTGTTGAAAATTGACTATACTAAGACGAAGAGACTATCTTCTTTAATAATATCATCACGTTTCGTTTAGATCAGGTAGGTTACATTACTAGTCCTTTGACGCTAAATCGTTACTGGTCAGTTATAGAGACCTGTGCTTGGTAACTGAGCTGATTTGTTGTCAATAATGCTCTCCTTGCGCTTTATATATATATATATATATATATATATATATATATATATATATATATATATATATACATGACCTCGGTAACTAGTGTAGGTGACATACTTGAAACCTTTTGTGGGCTATGTGATAGGAAGGACTAAATATAGAACAATGAGGCTTGCGAAAATCCAAAATCAGTACTAAAGAGCAAGTTCTACAGGTAAATAGTGTCTATAAAAGCTATAGAAAAAAATTTCGAACAGATATAACAGAAAGTAACAAAACTGGTAAGGGTAAAATCTTTGATTAATTTTACTGTAGTTAGAGGAGAAACATGTTGTACAGGCTTTTCTTGAGTTGAGAAATGGATTGTTAGCTTTATTTCATTTGATCCTAACTGTATAGGAAAAGGTCAAATATAATTAGTGACATATAGATTGCAGCGAATTGTCGTGTTGTGAGTCATAGTTGTGGATCCAAAGTTCTCAAGAATATATAAATTATAGTTGGTTTATATACACTGCCATTTTTTAAAAGCTGGAATAGTCGGCAATCAAAAATAATCACCTAATTATTATTAACCTCTACACTATCATACCCTATTAATTTCAAGCTATTATGTTTTTGGAGTTAAGCCATTTGGACTTGAATCTTCTGCTAATTCTAGGATAAGACGAACGATCTTAAATTATGTAAAATACTTAAGTCTAGGCAATCTATGTCGTACCAGAAAACGTTCCACCTGACAAACTATAGTGTAACCTCTATGCTCACTGGATCCCATTAAAGCACCAGTAGTAATTCAGTCCTAACATTTCAGGGGCTAGTGTACAGCGTTTTGAATAAAGCTGTTTGCCATATGAACAGGTAAATGTCTTGTCAGTGAAAAATGTACAAGTGTGCAGATGTCAACAAAGTTTTATTTTCTTATTTAGAAAAATTTCAGTAATTGTGTTACAGTAATTTTCTACACTGTACACAAAAATATCTGCGAAAATTAAATGTAAATTATCATAAGACATGTTTGTAACAAAATATCATGACAGTTATTTTAATCTATATTGCTTTATATACAATACACGTGATGCTTATTTACTACTGTGCTTTCTTGGTAGTTCATTTGAACAGATCGTATCATACATTCGTCGTCATGAAGAATTTTCTCTATGCTTTCAAGATGATACGTACTATAACTGTAGCACAGGGCTCAATAATGTACTACATGACGATTCACGTGTACCTTTTCATCTGGCTATTGAACCAATAGCTGAATCCGAGAATTGTCTATTAAAGCAGCATGTGGATCGTTTGACTAACATAAGACGTCGTCATACAGAAAAGGCATTCCTAGAGACTTCTCTTCATCATGGATTTCGAAACTGCCTCACCGCCACTCTAAATGAGGACCTTTCCGACGATCGTATTACGGTTATACTACCGGGACAACCACTCTCGGATGTTAAGTCAAATATTAGTTCACTTGATTTGCTTGAGCTTACTAAGGAGGAAATATCTGGGGTTAGTCATATTCAATATTTTTTGTGTTTTGACAATATTTTAGGTATGTAGAGTATGAGTAACTGTCATTTATCATATTTTTCAACAAACGTTTAAAGCTTATTATCCATCATAAGTTTATTAGTGGAATTCTTCATTTTCAATTATCCTGGGTATCTCTATTATGGAAAGAATTTCACTGTTTATTGTTTTTTTCTTCTTAAAATTGCTGAGAATATGTCTTAAGAATGCGTGCAGTGTATAATTTACGAGGTTTAAACACGTTAGTTGTCTTTCATTTTTTCCTACCTGTTCATCATTAAAGCTGACCCTCATTATTTTACTGGTTGACATTTTGTCAGATAATACTATGGCCTATGGTACCAACGTTCTTTGTAAACTTTATCATCTCACATGTTAGCTTACCGTATAAGTTTTATTTTTTATGAACTCGTGATGGGATGATCGACTTATGTATAGAAACGTCTTCGATTGAGTGATAGTTGAAATGAATATTTTATGCCTCGCTAAGTTTACAAGATCAATGTATATTATGTATCAGTGCACGAAACTAGCTTATCAGTATAAATAGTCAACTCACAATAACTTACAGGTTTGAACTCTGTTCCACTTGTGGTGTGTGCTACTTATATTGATATAAGTAGTATATGTCGCGAGTTAAATGTAATATCTGGCAGCAGAAGATGAGGTGAAGATCAAGAAATGAAGAGCTAGAGCACAATGGAATTTGTAAGAAAACGCATGTACAATGGACTGGGAGACAATAGATTAGTGTTTGCAACGGAAACAGTCCAGTTTGATATGATGCATTGATATTTTGCAAATTGACGATTGACTTTATGGTATTCAGATTTTATTGAGATAGTCTGTAATTTTTGTGCTAAATACATTCGATTGTCCCCACTCGTGTTCTTGTTCACTACACACTTATCGAAACTTGATCAGAAGGAACACAATTATTTTAGTTATTTATTCTTTAGATAAGTGATTTACAATAAGTTGAAAATTGTGATAAAAATGATTTTCTACCCATTGGGATGTTAAAGATATATCATCTTTTATCACAACGATATTATTATCGCACAATAAGTCTAATACACTAAACTATAAATAACTATTGGGCTACACAATTGTAGTTGTTAATTACCCATATATGGTGCAACGTACCCTTCTGTAACACTGGAAGTGTTAGTATTAGTAGCCTAGTCTCTACATATTCCATCAAAACGAATGGACTGTTGGAACTACAAGCCTTTATCCAACATCAGTGTTTAGAGAACCAAGTTGGTGGTCTCGATTAAAGCATACATTTTTAGGCTTATCTACTATTGAAAATGTTTCTTTTCTCCTAACCTATACTGAAGTGTCGACCTTTATGGTAGATTAATTCTTCATTAGTTACTTTAGGGATTCTGTAGACTAATTTTATGATTTAATTTGTTTTCATTGTAGATATATCAACAGTTTCAACTAGGTTTGCATATTCGAGTACGCGAGGACTTTTTAGATTTATTGGTTGAACAAACCGAGATTTTTGTCAAGACAGTGTTAGGTTATTTGGATCACCTTCGCGACAGTTATCCATATATTACGCGTGCATTGGATTCAGCGAATGAGGATTACAGTGAACGATCTTCAAAGATAAATCACGACCTATTGCCTTCGAGAACGTTACGTACTTCCGACCAAAACATTTGTGTTCAAACAGCACCATCACCGTATGTATCTTTTAATCAAACTAAGTATTTGAGTGCTCCCCCTAGAGGCGTGAAAGAAACTCAAATTACTTGGTTAAATGAACAGTTATCTAAAGACGATCGCTACCAAGCCATGGCTTATCTACCATCGGAACGACAAACTTTAATTACAGCTTATTTTGATATGCTTATTCCGTCCACTGATTCCCACAGATTTATCCCAAGAAGTCTGTGGAACGATATTTTGACCATGGACTTTAGAGGTTAGTTTTGTTTGTTTATCAGACTGCTAAGACTTTCTGCACAACCACATAAATTTAGTGTATTATCTGCTTCTTGTGATGTCTTATAACAAAATGGCCCCATATATGCCGTTTTGTTAACAGCATGTGTATTCCTCTTCACAGTTTAGTCGGAAGTTATGTTAATGGCTGGTATATATATACCATTACTGAAAATGATGACAAAACCCATATTAATGTACAGCTGGTCAGTTTGATATGAAAGAGGTAACGTTTAAAGAAAATAAAGGTGCATTGATTGGGAAGACTTATTTCCCAATTGATTTTGATTAAACATATGTCGTAGGGTTTTCAGTAATGTGAAGTACACACCGTATTGGTTATCTTCTTAAAAGCAGGGTTGTCTCTAACAAGTCGTGGATGCGAAACATAAATGCGTTTATAGAATGTTATATTTGCAAAGTTATGTGTGTTTCAAATGATTCATGGTGCATCTTGGCCACGGAAGGTACATCAAGCAGTTTACTCACTAATGATACGGCTTTGTGTTTCATAACACTTCCTTGTTCTGTATTAATTGTTCATTGCTGTCCTTGTTTGGTACTATAGTACGTTGAGAGGTTGTATATTAAGTTTATCTTGTAGAAAAGAACCAAGTTCACTAAGCGCTAATGCGTCTGTTGTAATTCAGTTAGACTACCTCGCCATACTTAGTGTTTCTTCTCAGCATTCGATCATCTGGTCATAAAATTGAGTCTCGCTCCATCTATTTGGTTTGAATGCCGATTTGGTGTTGTCGTCCATCACGTGGTTCAAAGTTCAACTCATAAATCCGTACTTGTTGAGTGGTTTAATTACAGTCAGGAGGTTTCAAAGTAATGATGTAGCCAACTATACAGTTTGATATAGAATTTTTAATAGGAAGATGTATTTCTACATGTTTATAGGTAGTTTGGATTTTCGAATGCCAGCACCTTCTTGTACTTTGGATTTATCCATTTTGTTGATTATTTTTACTGACGTTGATATATCCAATCACATCGCAAATTTAAAGTTGTGTTAATTTCGACCAGTCTTGTAATATCATTCCTTATGGTCGATATGTCTGGAAAGTACTTGGGCATTTCGAAATTCCTATCCAAAACTTTCAAAGAACTGGGTTTTAACGACCATTTTTACTCTGAACAGATCTGTTATTCGTGTTTTTGTCCGGTCTTAGGTAAGTGCATCACTCGCAATCCCAGTCTCTAAATATGAATTCACTTACATGTTACTCCTGTAGCACAGGCTGCCAACTAGGATTCTCTAACCAACTCTGTCATAGGCTTGGTGTGATATCACTCTTTTCAGTTTTTCGGCACTTGTTCTTCCTCCCAAATGTTTCTGAGTAGAACGTGGAGAATCTTTATAATGTTTGACTTCAGTGCTCCAGCTGGTGTATTGTCTGGTTCTACTGCTTTGCTGCTTTTGATCTGTCTGATGGCCACCTTGATTTCTTCGATCGTTGGTGGAGTGACAACTATAGGAATATTCGTTTGTACTGTTTCAACGTCCGGTGGGTTTGGACGGCTGGTCTACCCAAGCGCTCCAAAATGCCCTATCCACCTATTTCGTTGCTCTTGAATCTCAATGATTGGTTTCCCTTCCTTGTTCCTGACTGGTCTCTAGTTTACCATATTTCCCTACTAGCTTCTTTGTTATGTTACATGGTTGTCTCATGTTCCCTTCTCTTTCAGCTTTTCCCATTGTCATTGTCGGGTTTTCCACTTATTTCCACTTGTCGAATCTAATGCTTCTCTTCACTCGTGTGTTTACTTCTGTGCATTCAGGTTATGTCTTGATTTTCTCTGCTATTGTTCGACTGTTGTTAATTGCTATCTTCTTGTTATTCCTTTCTTCAATCCTGTTCAGAGTATCGGTAGAGATGCATTCCTTATGATGATACTTCTTGAGGCCCAGCAACTTCTGACACGTTGAAGTTAGTGCTTGTTTAATCCCTTTCCAGTTGATCAACATGAGTGGTTTCCTGTTCCTTGAGTAGATCTTGTAAGGCTTGTAATTTGTCATTGAGAGCTATTTTGAATTCGCTGAGTCTGTTGGTATCCCGAAATGGAGTGTTTATTAAACTTTTGTAGTTCCGTTCGACCGATTTCCCACTTCTTTAGCTTTAGTTTTAGCTTAGACTATCAGATGGTGAAGTCATATCAGGTGCTTAACTTGTTCTTAGGTCTTTCATGAACCCTCTGAATAATTTTATTAATTCAGACTGGTTCTCTGTAGTGTGATCCGGTGAGACTCATGTAGCTTTGTGCATGCATTTGTGGGAGAATATAGTGCCACCTATAACCATTTTGTTGATGAGATATGGATTTGGAAATCGGTAACCCTTCTCTTTCCTTTCTCCCAGTCAGTCTATACTTTCCCATGATACCCGACTTTGGCGTTTAGGTCTTCCATCAGTATGGTCAGGCCCTTTCCTGAGAATTTCTTTACGATCGAATACAGCCTGCCATAAAACCGATCTTTATCGGTTCCAGCTTGGGTTCAACGGGTTTTACTTATTGTGAGAACCGTCAAGTTGTATCTCCTCACTTTGCAGCTATCTGACTGATTCTCCCGGTTTTCTATATTGTCCGGACATTTCATGTACCTATATTAATTGCCGCTCTGGTTATGCAAAGAGCCATCAGCTCGTGACTTCCGAAGCATCTCGGTTTTCACCATGAGACGAAGATCTTCCAACTTCCAGGGCAGAGTCTAAGTGGTTTGAGTGATTTTTTGTGTTTAAGGTTTATTTAATAAAGTTGTTTTCTATGACATCGGGTTGCTTCCCCCATGTCCAACCTTCTTGTTTTATCCGGTCTTGAAGCCTACAGAAACGTTAGAATGGCTCCAGACGGAGTCCATTCGCGGTTAAGCCGAAAGTATAAAGAAGAGAATACCTCCGTTGGATATAAAGCAGACGGTAAATTTACAGAGAGTGTTGAATTAAAAGTTCTTCAAAGTATTTTAATGGGTGTGATGATCCTCTTTTCAAGGATTTTATACTTGAACAGGTAATTTCAGCCTTTCTCATTGATGAATTAAGCGTTTGCTCAGTGAACTGTATACTGAGTTTCTTAACTTCAGTAACAACTTTTGTAAGTCTTATAGTTTATAGATGATTTTGTTGTGTATTTGACATCTTTAAGAAACAACCAGCTATTCTTAATGTATATTAACAGATTAACGATTTATTTATTCCAATTGATCCGATCAATATATAAAGTAGCAATTCAAACATATTTCGTTCAGTTAATCAACTAAGAAAATTTTTGTTAACTTTTTGTTGAAACAGTCCAAAATGCAAGAAATCCCATGGCATCCAATGAAATGGATTCTCCAGTAATAGATAATGCCTTATGTATTGACCCAACAACAGATTATTGCTCTGAAAGTTGTCGATTTGAATCATCATATTTATGTTCACCATGTTTGTCTGTTTTATGTGGCGGGTGTATGGATGTACTCTTTAAGCAACTCGCACATGAATACCTTCCGGGTAATTTTGTATACTCCAGAGGACAATTCACTAACTTTTCTGAAGGTAACAGTAATTACTTCTGTTTGGATAAGAGTATGCTGTCTATTCCCAGATCAAGTACACCTCGAATACCTAGTCTTTCATGTCTTCCTTTATCGGTTTATGACCATTCACCGCTAGTTTTATCAATTGCTATCGCATGCATATGCACTGATACATTGGCTGCACATGCCATCATTAATCTGCTGTCGTGCGCAGGGTTCTGTATGGCTTCCTTTATTTCAAAAACTTCAGAGCATTCAGTTGATCATCGATCTGATCATTGCCAGGATTATCGCCATCGTCATCAACACACTAGTCTGAAGCCTTCAACTTTGTCTGCTTCAGAGGAGAACAGTATATCAGATCCTTTAGTGCTAACTGCTACATGGCCTCTACCGACAACAAGATTGTTTATGTCTGGTTTCTCCAGTACACCTGTTCCAAATCCATCTATAATAAGTTCATTTAAAGACGTGGAGTCACTCAAGATCTACGATGGTCAGGTTCACATTCATTTAATGTCACACCATACAGTAAGTTTGTTTAACAATTGAATCCATTTGATTTAATCTTTATTTCACTTTATTGGTTGGATATCACTTTGTTGATTAATTCTGTGATTGTGTCGCAAAATGCCCAATCATAGACTAATGGTTTATAATAATCGATGTTTGGTTTATTTAAGGACTATACAATGATATTGTTATAAAGTAATATTTTACGGTTTGATGAACGAAAGTTTCAATCGCTAAAATGAAAGTAAAGAATGATCATCAGTCAATGATACATTATTTCCTACTTGACCACTTATCGATCTAAAGTGATTTTCATTCTCATACGTTATATTTGGGGTTTAGCATTTCCAAAATACATCAACTCGAATATTGGTAATATGGAATGGTAAATTTCATGTCTCAGCTGATCTGAATGGAGATACAAAGTTTGGTAGTAATTTATCAATCCTACCTGTTTTGCAATTTGAATGTGTCAAAAGCGCTTTATTATTATTCATGATGTTTAATGTTTTTTGACTGATTGAAGAAAAAATAAAAAATATCAACTTTAGAAATGTGTATATTATTGTGTACTGACCTAAGGTGTTTTGAATATAGACCAAGCTGTTCACAAGAAGAGCTACCAAGACTTGTTCAACTGATTTCAAACGCATATCGTTTGTGCTTCTTAAGTTGAACATAATATATATATAGAAATGATGACCAACAGTAGATGGTGTGTATGGCTGAAAGTAAGTGTTACTGCAACCATTAATAAGAAAAACTTGTTATTACTCTATGTTTATAGTGGTCAGTTGAGGAGACGTTTAAGTTTCATGTCTCGATTGTTATGTATATAAGCGTCAACAAACCATGCATGTTCATTTGTGTGAAGATTTTGAATTAAAACATCAAGAAGCGTAGTTGACCATAGTAGGTTATCGGCTAGGTTCTGTTGGGTAAAATTTACAAACTATTAGATTTTATACGATGATAAATTTCATTTATGCTTATAACTTCATTGGCTTATTAATTTGACAGACAGTCATCGAATGAAAACTTTATATGTTCATCCTTCCTGTCTGTCATCTGTTACAAAACTAACCAGTAATTATGCTAGAATATTGAATTAGAGTAGTTTATTTTGTTGGTGGGCGGCCTATGCTCCTCCACGAGGGATGAATTATTTAATGATGGTCAATTTTTTACACAACGAATTTTCTATTCAGTTAATATAGAAACCTCTGTCAAATTAATGAGTTAGACTTGTTTTTTAACAATGATGAACAGTTGCTATTCTCCATTTATTACCGTTATATCATGTTCTTGTTTATAAATTTTTTAATACATAAATCATAGTTTCTTTTTCTTTTAAGCTATTGAATAAACTATTGTTGTATCGAGAGAATATTACAAGTAAATCTGAACAATCTAATGGTATATTACTTGAAGAAAACAATGTAGACTTAAATACTACGAATTCACACCTCCTACCCTATTCAGGGATAATCCTTTTTACTAGCGCTCCATCTCCTGCTGATAAAGAACAGTGCAATGAATTATCACAGGAAACCGGTGAAATCTCCCCGCCTACACATTTATCAAAAAAACCCCAAGATAGAGTTATAAATTCTATGAATTTGCGTGGGGTAAATATTCATGAATTCAGTTCGTCACCTCAATTACTCCTAAATGACCACTCACCTGACGAAAATGAGTGTGATTTTAAGGCACATGTAGAATGTGACCACTCTTCTGAATTTCCTTGTTCTCTTGATCAGTTATCATGCACGTGTTGCAACCTATTTTACAATAAAAAAGAAATCAATGCTTTAGGTTGTGTTTGTGGTCAGTGTTGTAATTGTGTGCATTCGTTGAAAAATTCCAACAACAGTTCTCTATTGCATATTAAACCTGATACATGGAAAGACAAAAAATTATATTCCAGTTTAATGTGTCCACATCGTAGACGTTCTTGGGAAGCAAGAGTTGCAGCCGTCAATTCAATTGTTGATCAAGTACCAAAAAATATTCCTCATTTAGTTCTATTAACCGAATCGTCCGATTATAGTGCCAAGTCAGAAGATCTACCACCATCTATTTATCCTGCCACCGAATCAATAAGATCCTTTACATTTTCCAATCAGTCGTACCCTAACATGTCATGTGATAAAAGTGAAAATTCATCTAGTTCATTGAACCGTGAATCTTGTTCATCCGATTGGATGCCTGTCGGAACAAATATCCTAGGTAGTTTGAAAATATTTTTGTGCGTTTTAATTAGATTTGTTTTTATTATTTATTTATTGATCTAATGCCTTTTAGTCTATTCAACATACTGCCCTAAGTATTCCCTCGACCAGTGACTTCTTTGTTGGTACACCTCAATGTGACTCAGCGTAATTAGGAACAGCCAGAATTAAATAAAATTGAAGCTTAAGGTTCTATTTAAGGATTTTCTAAAGAGTCTTTAGTTTGCACAAGGTTATCTGACAAAATTATTTCGTCATCTAGGATTATCTATGGGACTCTGCTTCGGTTTGGCACCTGGGCAGTATCTCAGCCCTCACACAAACCAAATGATTTATGTGGCTCATATCTATTTAGCGCGTCCTTGTGCCAATGTTCATGTGTTTAAATAAATAAATAATATCTATGGGGACTAGTCAACTTATTCCAACGATCCTCTCGTTATTGGTTGGAGTTGATATGCTGTATTAATTTGTCACTAGTCAATACTTTTAACTCTTCCTTTATTCTTCAATAGTCGATGCTAATATACTGCTTTTTATAAATTTTGGTTTTGTTGCTATTGCAAAATTATTAACTGATCTACAGTACGTCATTTGTCTTGCAAGTTTTATCAGCCCTGGTGGATTCGTGTCTGACGAAATTTCGGCACAGATCCTAAAGTCTCGCTTGATATTTTGAACTTATACTACCTACAGGTTAGTCGAGGAATCTGTCTGTTTACTGAAGGGCGATTATAATGGTCACAAGTTCGTTGTGTTTTACTTTGAAAGTGGAAAGCATTCTTTATTTACTAGTGTTCATCGAAGTACTGCTTACGTATGGTGGGACAGCCTAGTGAGTAAAGTTCTGGTGTAGGGTACTTAAAGTGCTGGTCGGCTTATGAATAGGTTAGACAAAAAGTAGAGTTGGGTGAATCAAGATGGTAGCCGGTGACCAACGATTGGTTCATACGCCATTTGATCCTTTAGGATACTGGAGCCCATGTACACCATTGGTTTGGAATAAGGGTTTTCCAACTCCCCTAAGTTGACTCTCCATGTCCACCAACCCGTTTAAAGCGCCGGACATTCAATTTTCGTCCTCTCAATTTCGTAAACAACGGTAATGCCACGAGAAGGCAGTGAGTAGAAATTTCCTGGTAGTGGCTGTATTCACGTGGCGATGTGAGAATATTTCGAGAGGGATAGCTGACCCTCCCAACTCTCGGCCGTACCAGGGCATTTGGGGGTATTTGTTTATTTCTGCTCATTACTAAAGAGAATAAACCCAAGACAACGAACTTAATTTTCATAATGTCCGGCGCTTTAACCGGATCACAAATCAATGGTGCACATGGGCTCCAGTATCCTGCGGGAACAAATGGCGTATGAACCAATCTTTGGTCACCGGCTACCATGAGATTGCATCTCCTTTCGATGCTCCACTGCCTTGTGGGTTAGACCTGTAGGTCAAAGGCTCGGGGATTGGCCCCCTAAGATAACCACCTGCTTCGGTTTGGGCACCCGGGCAGTATCACAGCCTACACACAAACGATGAACTCTATGTCTATGGCAACTACCTTTCTCGCTTCGATAAACAATCAGTCGATTCAAATAATTATCATTACTATTATTGTCATTATTAATACTATTATTATTACTATTATTGTCATTATTATTATTATTATTATTATTATTATTATTATTATTATTATTATTATTATCCACATTAATCACCCTCTTTTATACTTATACAGCGGCTCGTCTTTGGTGGAAATTCGACTATATCTAAACGTTCTCGAGTCACTGTCTGGTTGAAAATTGTATGTTACCATCGAATATGAGTACTGAAGCAGTTTTTCTGAAACCACGTGCGCCATTCAAACTGGCTGCCTTCAACGTTCGCACACGTATGCAGGTTGGTCAACAGATAGGGCTGGCTATGTCTTTAGAAAGTCTTAATATCGACGTTTGTTGTCTATCCGAGACCCGTATTCAAGACTCTGGTGAAATACTACGAATTCGCCCTCCATCTGTCGATCCAAAAAGCTTGTTTTACGTGCGTTTATCCGGGGACCCTGTGGCATCTTCGTATGGTCTTGCTGGCGTTGATGTCGCACTAAGCGCTCGAGCTGAGGCAGCACTAATCGATTGGATCCCCATTGACAGTCGGTTATGTGCTGTTAGATTAGAAAGTTCTATCAAAGTGAGGAGAAATCGGTGTGAGAAACGATGTCTTTTCGTCATCTCCGCCTATCCCTCGACAGATTGCAGCCCGGATGCAATCAAGGATAAGTTTTACCACCAGTTATCTGTTCTTCTCCAGAAAGTGCGTTCGACAGATATTGTAGTACTAGCCGGAGACTTGAATGCTCAGGTGGGGCGTCTAGGCACAGAAGAGAGTCGTTTAGGTGGCCGATGGGGACTCGTTGGTCGCAGGTCAGATAACGGGGACCATCTACTACAACTATGCACAGACCACAACCTGTTTCTGGCTAGCACTAACTTTCGGCACAGTCATCGCTGATGTGCCACCTGGCGTTCTCCCTCTGCATCCCAAGCCTGGACTCAGATTGATCACATCGCGATCAGCTACCGCTGGCGTGGTTGTTTACAAGACTGCCGCTCGTTTTGGAGTACCTATCTGGACTCTGACCATGCCTTGGTCTGCGCCAATCTTGCCTTACTTTTCAGTGGACAACGAAGTGACCGCCAGCAAAGGATTGATATTAGCAAGTTGGTTGCAACTTCTGTTGCAAATAAGTATCGAACCGAGCTAGCCTCTAGGCTAGCTACCACTCCACCGAAAAGTATAGATGAGTATTGGTTGCAATTGCATGACGAGTAAAGTCAGTTGTGGGTTCGCGAAACAACCCGCTTATAAGCACTGGGTTTCTTCTGGTTCCTTACAACTCATTGAAGCCCGTCGGTCTACTCCGGGTAACCGTGAGTTTGACCATAAACGAAGGATGTTATGTAAGGAAATCGGGCAAAGCTTGCGTAAGGACCGAGAAGCCTGGTGGTCGGAGCGTGCTAATGAGCTGGAAGCAACAGCTGCATCTGGTAACTACCGGAAGCTCTTCCAGCTCATCCGAGCCACTGGCAGCAAGAAGTCTGGTGTGAGTGAAACAATTTGCGAGGATGATGGGATGCCAATCACTAACATCCATCGACGTCTTGGACGATGGGCAGAATTCTTCGAAGGGCAGTTCAACCGACCTGATGCCCCAGGAACATTGGTCAGACTGTCCTGCCCTCCATGGTCGGTGACGACTGATACACCAAATGAGGCGGAAGTCCACAAGGAACTCCAACTCTTAAAGCGCTACAAATCACCGGGCTCAGATGACTTACCTCCGGCTCTTTTTAAAGATGGTAGTAACTTTCTGGTTAGGGAACTGACAACATTGTTTACAAAGGTCTGGAAGCTAGAGACTGTACCAACGTCATGGAATGAGTCGATAGTTGTCCCTATCTTTAAAAAGGGTTCACGTCGTTCCTGCAACAACTATCGGGGGATAAATCTACTTCCGATTGCGTTCAAACTGTTGACTTCTGTCATACTTCGTAGGTTGTTCAAAACCCGAGAAAGATTGACTCGCGAGGAGCAGGCTGGGTTTCGTTCTGGTCGACGATGTATTGATCATATCCTCACCCTCCGCCAAATGTTAGAACACCGTCATACTTATCACAGACCAACAATCGTAGTGTTTCTTGACATCAGGGCTGCTTTCGATTCGTCGAACAGGACTGTTCTCTAGAGTTGTCTATTGAAGAAAGGTATACCCGAGAAGTTTATTAACACCCTAAGGGCCCTATATGCAAACACCTCAGGCAGAGTGAGGGCATACAACCACCTCTCTCTAATGTTCCATTCAAACAGTGGGGTTAGGCACGGTTGCCCAATCTCACCATTCCTCTTCAACTTTGCCATCGATGACATTCTGGAAATAGCTCTGAAGGATGTGAGTAATGGCGGTGTAGATCTGCTGCCTGGAGAAAGACTTCTCGACCTTGAGTATGCGGACCATATTGTCTTACTGTGCGATAATGCCCAAGGCATGCAATCCGCACTTAATCAGTTGACAATCAGTGTCCGTAGGTATGGTTTGTGCTTTGCACCTTCGAAGTGCAAAGTACTTCTACAAGACTGGCAGGATTCTAATCCTGTACTCACCCTGGGTGGTGAGCAGATAGAAGTAGTCGACAAGTTCGTGTATCTGGGTAGCTGCGTAAGTGCTGGTGGTGGCCTGAGTGATGAGATCAATGCACGTATAGTGAAAGCCAGAGCGGCTTATGCCAATCTGGGCCATCTTTGGCGCCTTCGTGATGTCAGTCTGGCTGTAAAAGGTCGGATCTACAACGCGTCGGTGAGGGCAGTTTTGCTCTATGCTTGTGAAACCTGGCCTCTCTGAGTTGAGGACATTAGACGACTCTCTGTGTTCGATCATCGCTGTCTCCAAAGGATTGCTGACATCCAGTGGCAACACCATGTCAGTAATGCAGAGGCTCGGCATCGTGTATTCGGGCACAGAGATGATAATTCAATTGGTGTTACCATCTTGAAACACCGACTTCGGTGGCTTGGACATGTTCTCCGAATGTCGTCCCAGAGAATTCCACGTCGTGCATTATTTGCCGACTCTGGGACTGGTTGGAAGAAGCGGAGAGGTGGTCAGCGTATGACATGGTGTCGTGGCATGAAAGAAAGCTGCAAAGGACTGGCTTCTGTTGGTCCTTCACGACTCCCTGGTTGGGGTCTGAGAGATGGTGCGACACAGTGGCTAGAGACGTTATCAGATATGGCTCAGAATAGAAGCCAGTGGCGATCCTGCTGTAACCTTCTTTTACTTTCTTCATAAAAAGTGGTTCTGTCTCCCTTACTTGAAAGATTTCTTCCGATTGTACCTTTGCGTTCCCTGATTACTAGCACATTACCTTACACCAATCTCTTCGTTATTGTTCTCTCTTTTTTTTGTTGCGCTCCTTAGCTTTTTTTTCTTTCTGTGTATTCCTCTCGAATTTTCATTGTTTTGTGTGGCGCATATATATTGGCGCTCTCTTGTACCAATATTCATGTGTCCAAATAAATAAATAAATAAACTCTAACATTAATAATTTTGTTTCTGTCAATCTTTCTGTCCTTGATTTTCATCACTACTTGAATTGTCATTTTTATATTTCTTTATAAACTTCTAGATCATGTTATAAACTTCCTTTGTCATTGTTGGAACAAAATGAATCAAAATGTGTCTTCTAAATATGTTGGAAAACATAAACACACTTGTCGTGTCACCCCTTCCAAGAACTCTGAAATTTCAAATAGTCCTAGTTCACCACATCTAATGGTAGCAGGAAACTATGCAAATCAGTCTTCTGTAGAAATATCATTGGATAAATCTTTCAGTGGAGGACTTTTAAATACCTTATCAGTTGCTTCAGCCACTGGGCGGAAGGCTATGCATTCGGCCAATCAGGCTTTAAGAAAGCTTTCTAATACTACCAAATGCCATCATAATTGTAAATCATCTCTGGCGACCAATTCGAAAGGCTTTCTTTCCAGCTTTATCGATTCTCAAAGTAAGGTTAGTGTTGATGAAAAATCAGAAACAATACCCGAACAAGTCTCTTTCATCTCAGATTCAAAATCAAAGACTTTAGAATCAATGATCTCACCGGGTACTCTTATTGCTTCTAATGATAACCCAATAACTATCACTTCTCCACCAGCCATCCAAACAAACAAATCTTTCAGTGAACATAATCATACACCTAAAAGGTTCAATTGCAGTGAACATCCTGTTCGATGGACAGTTGGCCCTTCACCACTTCATGCGTAAGTCAGTGTTTCTTTTTAAATTAAATTATTTCTTTTATTGGTAGAGATAATATTTAAACAAAGTAAATTGTACATCATGCCTTAGTTCAATTCTTTTCTGAACCTAAAATAACCTGAATAGAATACTGGATGTGACCACTAAGACAGCTATATGTCAATAGTTGGGACTCTCAAATTTCAATAATTTGGTTAGAAATTTGAAACCCACTCCACCTACTTCAGTTTGGACATTCACGTAGCATAATGACCCGTCGTACACAAATATTATATGGTTCAAAGATGAGAATACAAACCTATTGTTGTTATTGAGGCAGCTTTTTCCACATATTGATGAGGATTCATCAGCATACATAATTAGGAAAATCAAGTTATTGAGCTTATTAGTTTGTTTCAACAGATAAAATATGTTAATATAGAACAATTATGCTTTGCTGTTTCATGCTTCAATTGTCTGAGATTTAGACTTATCAGAGTCATGAAAATAAGAAGCAGAAGGGACTATCGAATTAGTTCAAGATCAATAACTATGATCAGATTTCATCTTAACTACTATTAGATATGATAACATAACAGTCAGTGTATTGTTGCAAACATGAACCCAGATAAGTCCAGAAAAAACAATTACTTTATGCTAAAGCAAATTTCAACATGAGTGGGATGCTTAGTTAATATTATGGGATGATAAGCGTAGCGGCTTACAAGGTCAGGGTCATTCATTGGTGATTATCGCCCATAATGTGGTAATTTGTATAATTCAAAATATTGATCTCGCATAAACCTAATATAAAACTCTAAGTTGCTTAGATTTAAAAGAACACAACATAATATCTGTAGATTTCGGAGTCACTTCTGTTATTGGATTTTGAATACTGCTGCTTAAATAAGTGCAGATTTAGGTGAGTTTAATGTTTGTGATCAAATAATTAGAAGTTGAATGGTTCGCCACTGGCTTCTATCCTGAGCCATATCTGATAACGTCTCTAGCCACTGTGTCGCACCATCTCTCAGACCCCAACCAGGGAGTCGTGAAGGACCAACAGAAGCCAGTCCTTTGCAGCTTTCTTTCATGCCACGACACCATGTCATACGCTGACCACCTCTCCGCTTCTTCCAACCAGTCCCAGAGTCGGCAAATAATGCACGACGTGGAATTCTCTGGGACGACATTCGGAGAACATGTCCAAGCCACCGAAGTCGGTGTTTCAAGATGGTAACACCAATTGAATTATCATCTCTGTGCCCGAATACACGATGCCGAGCCTCTGCATTACTGACATGGTGTTGCCACTGGATGTCAGCAATCCTTTGGAGACAGCGATGATCGAACACAGAGAGTCGTCTAACGTTCTCAACTCAGAGAGGCCAGGTTTCACAAGCATAGAGCAAAACTGCCCTCACCGACGCGTTGTAGATCCGACCTTTTACAGCCAGACTGACATCACGAAGGCGCCAAAGATGGCCCAGATTGGCATAAGCCGCTCTGGCTTTCACTATACGTGCATTGATCTCATCACTCAGGCCACCACCAGCACTTACGCAGCTACCCAGATACACGAACTTCTCGACTACTTCTATCTGCTCACCACCCAGGGTGAGTACAGGATTAGAATCCTGCCAGTCTTGTAGAAGTACTTTGCACTTCGAAGGTGCAAAGCACAAACCATACCTACGGACACTGATTGTCAACTGATTAAGTGCGGATTGCATGCCTTGGGCATTATCGCACAGTAAGACAATATGGTCCGCATACTCAAGGTCGAGAAGTCTTTCTCCAGGCAGCAGATCTACACCGCCATTACTCACATCCTTCAGAGCTATTTCCAGAATGTCATCGATGGCAAAGTTGAAGAGGAATGGTGAGATTGGGCAGCCGTGCCTAACCCCACTGTTTGAATGGAACATTAGAGAGAGGTGGTTGTATGCCCTCACTCTGCCTGAGGTGTTTGCATATAGGGCCCTTAGGGTGTTAATAAACTTCTCGGGTATACCTTTCTTCAATAGACAACTCTAGAGAACAGTCCTGTTCGACGAATCGAAAGCAGCCCTGATGTCAAGAAACACTACGATTGTTGGTCTGTGATAAGTATGACGGTGTTCTAACATTTGGCGGAGGGTGAGGATATGATCAATACATCGTCGACCAGAACGAAAACCAGCCTGCTCCTCGCGAGTCAATCTTTCTCGGGTTTTGAACAACCTACGAAGTATGACAGAAGTCAACAGTTTGAACGCAATCGGAAGTAGATTTATCCCCCGATAGTTGTTGCAGGAACGACGTGAACCCTTTTTAAAGATAGGGACAACTATCGACTCATTCCATGACGTTGGTACAGTCTCTAGCTTCCAGACCTTTGTAAACAATGTTGTCAATTCCCTAACCAGAAAGTCACTACCATCTTTAAAAAGAGCCGGAGGTAAGTCATCTGAGCCCGGTGATTTGTAGCGCTTTAAGAGTTGGAGTTCCTTGTGGACTTCCGCCTCATTTGGTGTATCAGTCGTCACCGGCCATGGAGGGCAGGACAGACTGACCAATGTTCCTGGGGCATCAGGTCGGTTGAACTGCCCTTCGAAGAATTCTGCCCATCGTCCAAGACGTCGATGGATGCTAGTGATTGGCATCCCGTTATCCTCGCAAATTGTTTCACTCACACCAGACTTCTTGCTGCCAGTGGCTCGGATGAGCTAGAAGAGCTTCCGGTAGTTACCAGATGCAGCTGCTGCTTCCAGCTCATTAGCACGCTCCAACCACCAGGCTTCTCGGTCCTTACGCAAGCTTTGCCCGATTTCCTTACATAACATCCTTCGTTTATGGTCAAACTCACGGTTACCCGGAGTAGACCGACGGGCTTCAATGAGTTGTAAGGAACCAGAAGAAACCCAGTGCTTATAAGCGGGTTGTTTCGCGAACCCACAACTGACTTTACTCGTCATGCAATTGCAACCAATACTCATCTATACTTTTCGGTGGAGTGGTAGCTAGCCTAGAGGCTAGCTCGGTTCGATACTTATTTGCAACAGAAGTTGCAACCAACTTGCTAATATCAATCCTTTGCTGGCGGTCACTTCGTTGTCCACTGAAAAGTAAGGCAAGATTGGCGCAGACCAAGGCATGGTCAGAGTCCAGATAGGTACTCCAAAACGAGCGGCAGTCTTGTAAACAACCACGCCAGCGGTAGCTGATCGCAATGTGATCAATCTGAGTCCAGGCTTGGGATGCAGAGGGAGAACGCCAGGTGGCACATCAGCGATGACTGTGCCGAAAGTTAGTGCTAGCCAGAAACAGGTTGTGGTCTGTGCATAGTTGTAGTAGATGGTCCCCGTTATCTGACCTGCGACCAACGAGTCCCCATCGGCCACCTAAACGACTCTCTTCTGTGCCTAGACGCCCCACCTGAGCATTCAAGTCTCCGGCTAGTACTACAATATCTGTCGAACGCACTTTCTGGAGAAGAACAGATAACTGGTGGTAAAACTTATCCTTGATTGCATCCGGGCTGCAATCTGTCGAGGGATAGGCGGAGATGACGAAAAGACATCGTTTCTCACACCGATTTCTTCTCACTTTGATAGAACTTTCTAATCTAACAGCACATAACCGACTGTCAATGGGGATCCAATCGATTAGTGCTGCCTCAGCTCGAGCGCTTAGTGCGACATCAACGCCAGCAAGACCATACGAAGATGCCACAGGGTCCCCGGATAAACGCACGTAAAACAAGCTTTTTGGATCGACAGATGGAGGGCGAATTCGTAGTATTTCACCAGAGTCTTGAATACGGGTCTCGGATAGACAACAAACGTCGATATTAAGACTTTCTAAAGACATAGCCAGCCCTATCTGTTGACCAACCTGCATACGTGTGCGAACGTTGAAGGCAGCCAGTTTGAATGGCGCACGTGGTTTCAGAAAAACTGCTTCAGTACTCATATTCGATGGTAACATACAATTTCCAACCAGGCAGTGACTCGAGAATTAGGCATGAGGGCGGTTATCAATTCCCGGTTGCCCACACCGAGGAAGGGTTCTTCTGGAGGTACCTGAAAAGGAAATTGGATTAGAGGTGGTCTCAGTGACCTGAGAGCGTGACCGCAGTGCCCAAGGGACAACTGCTTGAGGCCGGTCGCGCACGGCCTTTTCGTGGGAGGTTTTTGACGTGTTAGCTCCGTTATTCAAAGGGCCTTACCGCCGGAGACGGAAATCCGTAATTAAGTTGAGGTGTGCATTTTTAGGGTCGACCTTTTCTAACCCCACCCCTCCTTGTGGGAAGGCAGCATCGCTGTCATGCTGGTTGTCTGAAGGAAACACCTTACTGCTGTCACACCTCTGTACAGTCAGCAGTACGACTTCGCCTTCGGACCTTGGGTTTGTTGCTTTTAGTCTTACCGCTCTTCAACCGACCTGTCTGACATGGTAGGACTTTGAGGAACGGTTGTTCCAGCCAGTATAACTCGGTTGCTTCATCACGATAGGCAAGCCCGACCACCACGTCAAGGTAGCAACAACGGTCGGGAGTGACTCGAGAACGTTAGATAGAGCCGAATTTCAACCATAGGCGAGCTGCTGTATGAGTCGAAAAGTAAGGATACATATAGCGGGAATAAAAGCGAGTGAGTAAATGACGTAGTAAATAATAATAATAATAATAATAATAATAATAATAATAATAATAATAATAATAATAATAATAATAGTAATGATAATAATAATAATAATAATAATAATAATAATAGTAATAACGTGAATCATTTGATTGTTAATCGCAGCGAAAAGAGTATTTTCCATAAATATAGACAGTTTATCATATTTGTGTGCGGGCTGTGATACTGCCCGGGTGCCCAAACCGAAGCAGGTGGTTTTCTTAGGGGGCCACATCCGGAGCCTTCAACCTGAAGGTCTAATCTACAAAGCAGTGGAGCATCGTAAGGAGATACAGTCCCATGGTAGCCGGTGACTAACGATTGGTTCATACGCCATTTGTTCCCGCAGGATACTGGAACCCATGTGCACCATAGGAGTAATAACACTATCACGGGCAGTAGAGAAGATTAGTTGTAAGGAGCACGATTTGAGAAAGAAACATTAAATCGCTGAATAAAAAGTGCAAGGGGATTTTAAAACTCAAAATCTAAAGTGAAGCAAAGATTAAATGCATTTAGATAATTGAAACTGGTAATGAGTTATTTCACCAAACGTCTACAGCCGTTGGTCGTGATGCTGGCAAGGACCCCAACCAGGTAATCTGGACCTACGAACATCGCTCATTCCACCAGTCAATGACTACGGATTGATCTCTTGTCTTGCTTTGACCAACCTGACTTTCTTCCAACCTACTCCTACACCATCAAATATCTCTAGGTACATGATGTCTAGGCGTACATAACATACGTCCTAACTACCTCAACTGATAATTGTTTATAACCACCTCAACCAACTCCCCATTTTTACCTAGTACTTTGGTCTTTTTATAAGACGCTGGCAATTCTTTAAAGACACCTATTATCCTAAACCGTCTGCCTATATGTGTCTTCTACTTTCATAGACCATGTTTTACTGCCAAAAAGTGGAATAGGGCAAACTGTCGGACAGTATAGATCCCCTTTGATTGACAGACGGATATTTCGTCTACACCATAAGTGACGTCATTCGCCAAACGCCGACCGTGCTTTCTGAATCGGTATCGAGATTTCGTCCGACATCAATACCTCGATGCTGATGAGACTTCATAATAGGTGCAATAATCAACTCACTCAACCACTTCACTCCCTCTCACTAGTTCAGACGTTGACGCAAAACATTCCTGAAGCAACATTTTGTATCTAGAGGGAGTGAAGCATATCAATATCCTAAACATTTTCTTTAAGACAGTGATGCATTAAAAAAAAGTTGTATCACCAACGAAGATGCAAAGTCTGGATCTACTGTCTGAATAACTACCATGAAATACTTAAAGTCCTTTTGTTAAATAAGCATACGAAAATTTCGGCACAATTTCTAACTCTTAACGTACAACTATCCCGATGGCTTAGTTCATTCCCTTAAAATAGAAGTTTATCAAGCATATTCTTTTTAGGCCACTGGTTAATTGCCGTCAATAAGCTTCATCGGATAATAGTTGTTCGGTAATTCACCCATAATATTTTCTAATTTCTAATTTAGTGAACCATCAGAGCATAGTTTTGTTACCCTTAAAAAATTGACCGAAAGCTGTTGAAATGTAAATAACAACCAGATTAAGAAATTTTGTTGTAGATAGAAATTTAAACTAAATAATCCTCAGTTATTGTGATCTTGAACGCCAAAATTTATTCTATTTTGCGATTCATACTCCCATGTAAATTTCAAGTTTGAGATAGCTGGATTAAAACATTTAAAGATCTGATCAGTGTGGTCTTTTTTAACACATGTAACGAAGATATCGGCAACCCATCTCACATATATCGTTTTTTATCGCTTTTATGAGTCTTCGTAGTTTCTGGTTGTGCAAATATTGGGCTTTGCACTTAAATCGATATTTTGTATTCTACCGACGTAATGGAGATTACTTTCCAAGGTATATGCAGTTAACTTTTTTACTGGCTGTTTATGTTTCAACGTAAATTCATTCGGAAGCATGCTTCAGCATATGCAGTCTCGTCAGACTTTTCCAGTCGACCACATTGTACCATCAGGCATCATATATCAGTAAGACCTTTTCAGTGGTCTATATCACAACCGAAACGTATTTATAACACAAGCAAAACCTTCCCCAATAACATATTTCAATAGTTGTTCTTGGATATACTTCCAACACTGTACAAGATGTAGCATTTAGTGCAATTTCACCTAAAAATTCATTTCCTTAGCTGGGTACATTTACAGTTATTGAAAAAATTCAGATTAATTTAAACTGATACCATCTTTCTCATATTATGTTTGTTTCTCAGTGTTGTCTTTGTTGTTCTTTTTAATTTTAAAATGTAGTCATCGTAAAGAATCATCTATTCGAAAAGCAACAGAAAAATTACAAAGTAAAGCTTTTCATTTGAAAAAAAGCAATCCGAAATTGACGAATGATAAGACCATCTCATCAACTAAGTTAACTAACTTCGGCATCGACTCTACTCCGTTTTTATTCCCAATCAATATTCAAGATAATGAAGAAACTACTCCTACTAGTAAAGGAAATAAATACTTAAAGACTGATACGTTCGTATCAAAACTTTCACCAGCTCAAAGTCCTGATAAACTACCATGTTGCGAAAACCGGGAACATAGTATACACAATATTAGAAATTCATATATTGGATTATTCGATAAATGTTGTTATTGCACGAGTGATGTACCGGAAGATAACTTAAACATTAGTATGTTTCATAATTTTAAAATGTTTTCTTTGAATGTATGGAACCTTAGTGTCGGATGACTAAAGTTGTGAATTAACTTTTTATCTTAGCTATTCAAATTTCAACCATTGTATGTCACCTGTTCAATTCTCCTTCACCTTACTCCATTTTAAGTAACCATCACTTCATGAATGTGACTTAGGACACTTAACTTACTGGAAATTCTATCAGATAGTTTGAATTTTTGGGCATAGTTCTATTTAGTCAAAATACTGGATAAATATATGGTCTAATGATTATTTTCATTAGTGTGACTATACATTGGTAATTTACAAAACGACTTTACTTTCTAATAAACTTATCACTAACAATGAAGGCTTGAACGCCTTCATTTATCTTGAATATATTACTAGCCAATGTCAAGTAGAATCTTTATAATGGATATATATCGCATAGGAAACGTTTGTTATGTGTAACGGGATGATTTGGAATTTACGCTAAATTTAAGACAACGTCAGGAGTATCCATTCCCATCGCCCTCTCATTGTTGAAACTATCGGTCGAATTATGCCATAGCTAGGTATGTGTTTGCCTTTTCAAGTATGCTAACCGACCGGCGATTTCACAAAACTATCTTGAATGATAGCTTTTTTTAATAAAATTATCTTACTAAACATTCACTACATTGAAGCTAAAGGCATTTTTATAATTGAATGGTTTTTCTGATCATTTATTTATTTATGTCTTCCAAGACGTAAACTTTCTACGTGGCGCAATAGAAATCAATTCCTTCTGTTGGAATAGTAAATTTTAAAAAAATATAATGTGGTTCATTCAAAAAGTTTAGGTTTGTGTATTCTAATTTTAGCCACCATTTTTGTGTACTAGCAGCGCCCAAATGAAAGAAAGGATAATAGAAGTTGAACCTGCTACCTAATGCTTGGAAGCAAAGTCCTTTGACCATTTAATCACCGTCTAAACTAAAGATTTATATGAAGATGAGTGGATGCAACTGCACCTCTGTGATCGATTACGTGCCACATTACCAAGCGTTCACAACAGTAGATTAAGATTAGCTTACGGACTTCAAAAATATAGTTTAAACTTATCTATATGGCTCAGACGAGCAGTCACTACATGGATTGATGCCCTCTGGTACTAGTTTTCTGCTAACCTCCTATGGTAGCCAGGATTAGACGTTGGGGTAGATACCAGCTTGGTATGCATAACCTGATTATCAGCTTCCTCAGCCGGTAAGGCTTTGAAATCTTACCAATAAATTCATCGTCCTTACCTAGTATTGTACACCTAACCCCCCAGCTTTACTCACTAAGTGGTTCCATTGTATATGTGTAATTGTTTGATGAGACCTAAGCTCTAATACGATACATGTCTTTGTGGGCGTAAGGCAATTCATAACGAACAGATATATTATTTTAATTGATTTTGATCTTACTACTTTCGATTGGTGGCAGCCCAGTAGTTCAAGCACTCAAATTTTCACTTTTTCGATCACAAGTTGGAAGCCATGTTCATATACTTCACTTTGAGTTTCTAACCGGTAACTTATGTAGTAATTATGGCTTGATACATAAGCATACACTCAGTTGCTGAGTTTCAATAAAGCCTAACCGCTCTTAAAAAACTATTTGAGATGGGCATGGTCATTATGGAATTCTTTTGGATGGGATAGGTAAATTGTATTTTATTCAGTTTCTAGGATAAAACAAGACACGAAAATGATTATACCGAATGTAATAAGCTTCTCTGTCCACTGAAAACACCTTGAAGAAGTTCAACTCTGAGTATCAACTGTCGTTATAAAGCAAATTGGTAATTAGATACTTTATACATAGGTGGGGTTATGCTTGAAATTATAGAAATATACAGAATGATGAGTAGGTTGCAGATAATCTGTATTTAGCTCTAGGAATATTTAATCATGCATCAATGAGTAAAATCGGAGATATTTGGATGACACTTTTATTGTATTTGGATTTTGAAGATATTGGTGGATGTTTTACATTCAGAAACGTGTTTTTTGTGAGTTAAAGTCTCTTTGCTATTTCACTTTACATCTGCCCGTTACCAACGATTTAGAAAAAATTCAAAAGCTACCACCACTCCGACATATACCCTTGTCTTTTATAATATTCTGCCATTGTTAAAGTCCTATTTCTTTTCTGTTCTATGAACTATTGTAAGGTTGTACATTAATATGTCCATCTGTCCGTTAACTCGTAAATTATGGGAACACAGATTGTTGTCGAAAATCGAAAACCGATCATCATTATCTCTTATTCGATAATAATTTCAATTTTATGAGTTTGATATGGTCGTTTGTTCATCCCATTGCTTTCTCTTGCCTTTTAGGGACAAATAAACAAGATAATCAGCAGTTTATCGGAGGTTCACCTTCAGACATTTCTGTAACTGTAAGTTTATGAGTTCGTTCTCATAATTTGATCACTTAATCACTAATTTGATGATGCCTTTTTTTAACATTGTCATGTGAGGTTTGTCATTCACTTCATTTGTGAATCTTCACTAACTATTGATACTATTTTCACGTATGTCCCACTACTTCTAAGGTTGGTCGTAGTTTGTTGACGTAGAAACGAATGACGAGGCCGAAGCACGGGCTTGGTCCATTAGGTTATTCCTCGTTGATTTAATCTATGTGGAGAGGTACACAGGTCTTTCTAGTTGATTCCTTAGTGGTTGTAAACTTCAGTTGATTACCTGTAAATTAAATTATTAATGCGTTGACTACTTATTTTTTATATCTGTTTACCTTTACTGATTATTCACAATTTGGAGATAGTCCTCTTCATGGATCGATGTCATTTGAAGAACGACCGCAAATTATTGAGCGCTGAACATAGGTGTCATTTTAATCTGGGTATCCCAACGGTTCACACCCAACCTTACGTAAATTACAACTCAGGATCTTCACGTTTCACAGTAAACACGGTATATCGAGATCACCGGTGGGGACAACCAAACGTATTTGAACACAAAATTACAGTATCTCAGTAAAATATGAGAACCATACAGTAAATACTGCATTTGCAAAATGTCAATCAATTGTCTCAGACTTTATTGTTCCTTCGTTTCCACACCAATCACTATTCTCGTTCTCTTCTCTTCGATCTTCTTAACCTTCTGCCGCCAGACACTCCACTTTCGATTGGTGATACATACTTCTTATATCTGTCGGCATCAGTAGCACGCACCACAGGTGCACATATACTAGTGTTTCAGAGTCTAAAGACCCATATTCTCAACTTCAGTTAATTCACAGTTATTACGCAGTGGTTATCAAGTGTTATTGATAATATTTGTCTCATTTTCGACACGACTGATGCTATTGATATTATTTATCTGTCCACATTAAAATAAAATGAGCGGTATTCAAACTTAAAACCTATCGGCTAAAAGTTAGCTGCCTTGACCACTGAAATTTCCAGAGCTAGACATAATCGTCGAGATTTTAGTGGCCACTAATTCTAAACTGTAGTTAGTTAGTTACTCACGCCTGTTACCCTCATAGAGGAGCATAAGTCATCCTCCAGCATTCTTCATTGAACTCTGTCCTGGGCAATGTTTTCCACTTTTTTTCAGTTGCTATTCATCCTTTTGATGTCTGCTTCCAATTCCCGACGCAGTGTGTTCTTGGATTTCTCTCTTTTCCGTTTCTCTTCAGGATTCCAATTTAGCGCTTGCCCCACAATACAGTTTGATGATTTCCGCAATATATATCCTATTCACCTCCATCGTATTTTCCTAATTTCTTCTTCAGAAGGATGCTGATTTGTTCTCTCCCACAGTAGGCTGCTACTGATGGTATCCGGTCTACGGACATTGAATATCTTACACAGACAATTTTTTTAGAAATACTTGTAGTTTTATGATGATGGCTGTAGTAGTTCTCCAATTTTCAGCTCCATGCAGTAGAACTGTCTTGATGTTCGTATCGAATACTCTTACTTTGATGTTAGTTGATAGTTGTTTTCAGTTCCATATGTTCTTCAACTGTAGGAGTGCGACTTGCAAAACTGTACTTTACACTATCTTAAAATGAGTGAATATCTCTTTTCCCTATATTTTTTCGTACATTGTCTCCTCGTGTCGTGTTTATTGTTGGATATTGATTTTCTATGTGTATGTTGGCCCACGAGTATTCTAAAATTTTATGTTGCTATCTCTCTGTTTATATATGTGTATGGGTAATGTGAATTAATTTTCTGTTATTGATGATAATTATTCTTGAATTAAATTGAATTTTCAGCCAATAGTTATCAGTAAACCTCATTCGCCAAATCGTGATGAAGCAACGAAAGAGCTATTTAAATCGCCTAATAAACTTGAAAATCCATTTATTTTAACAACAATGTTCAATGACAATAATCATCTGATTGCATCAAAATCATTCGATTCTAATAATTGCTCAATGAATTCCTCGTTATATAACCATAGTTCTGATATGTTTTGTATTATGCAAAGTGAAGAGGAAAAACAAGACGATATCGAGTCAATCTATGAAGAATTTATTCTAACTGATGGGTCATCACAACCGTCATCATTTCCTGGTACACATACTACTACTACTACTACCAATAATAATTATAACAATCATAGTAATACTGGGCATCACTCAAGCGGTATTGTGTCACCACCATCACTAACGGCTTCTACCAATACATCTAATACTGATGAACATATTTATATGGAGCCTGTTGATTGTTTAACACATGGATGTCTAGAACGATATCATATTATTTCACAAAAGTTTACAGATTTTTACACCAACTTAAGCAGTTCATCAGCTGTCGTGTCAAATAAACAAGAGTTTAATAGTTCAACACCGTCAAGTATGTAATAGTTTTATATCAGTTAATTTTCAAGCTTATTTTCTATTCAAAAAATCCCATGTTTAGTAGTCTTTATTGATCTTTTTTTTGAATACATATTCTGTAGTTCGGACAAGTTGATCATTTGTTATGAACACAGTACAATACTTCATATACATTTCAACCCAGTGGCGAAATATGTTAAGCATTCTAATATATTGGTTAGTGCTATACACATATAGTAGTCGTAGTCTTTGGTTGAAAATTTCGGGTGACATCACCCAAAATCTGCCACACTGGTGAATTTACTTGTTATCCTCTTGTAAATCCCGAACACTATATTATTCTGTGATTTTTATTTACCGATTGCATTTTTAATGCTTAACTTTCTATCGTAGTTGATATTATTATTTTGTCTCTACTACTCTTCTCGTTAACTATCTATATGTCTGCTGATTAAAGGTTTTTTTAAAAAACACATTTTTGTCAACTTTTGCACATTACTTGTGACTGATTGACTGATATTTTTTTTATTGAACATAAAAATCTCATAAAAATATAATCGAGTAATTGGCAATAAACTTCCTGATAAAATTACTTAAAATATGTAACAGTATGTATAAAAATCTCAAATAAAACCTTTCTATTTTACAAGGCATTGATGTGTAAGACATTTTTTGTTGTTGAGTATACATGGGTAATAAATTTATTTTCAAAATGTCAACTACTTGGTAGCTTATCACTAAATAACCTAGTTAACAAAAGGAAAATCGGATTTCTGGAGAAAATTATTCATTTGAATAACATTTTGCTGACTGTCTCAGTATTATTATGTAATAGAAACGGAGAATTAGTAAAGTTTATGACGTTTAATCACACCTTTATTGTTTCAAATCTAACATATTAGCGTTGGTGACCATTGTTGATTCTTGCCATTTCTTTATGGCTTTTCGACTAAAAGAAGCAAAATGATTCAGAACGTTGTTTCTTTTGCTCCAAATAATTAAAAAAAATTAATTATTTTCATATGCTGTCCTTGGTTCAGTTACTCTATTATATTCAAAGCGATTTCTCTGTCGTTTTGCACTTTATTAGAACTTTTGTGGGAATAAATCAGTTTAAACGATTAGTTTTTTTTTCATTTTAATTTTTTTTAGTTCCTTCAACTAGTATTGTTACATCTTCAAATGTATCAAATAGTTGGACAGAAAATGATGTAGGTTACAGACGTGAACGTTATCGTTCGTTTAGTACACCTGAAGGTAGCTCTTTATCTCATGATGATAATGAAACACAATACGTTGGTGGTGGTCCTTCAATTGGTTCGTCATCCAACATCAATTTTCCAAGAAGTATTTTTCAACCTTTCTCTGGAAATCCAATCCATTTTCGTTCTGTTAGATCTAGTCACCTTAATGGATCTTCTAATACTTCACCATTGAAAACTCGTATACATAGTACGGATGCAGTTTTCGAATCATTGACACACTATAATACGTCTGTTATTTCTCCAGCTTCAACCACTTTAAGTGAGGATCTTAATGAAAATGTTATGGTTAGTGATAAATTTCCTAAATTCTCTACAATTCGTGCACAATCACTTCCAAATCCTCTCTCTCGTTCACATCATCATCATTTCTGGCATCATCCTAAATGTCCTCATTATCGAATTCATCGAGATTCAGAGGATAGTGGTTTAGGCACGGCATCGTCATCTTCGTCTAAAGTAGGTGATATTGTGTTTTTCCTTTTATGTAGTTATCATTATTTGAGTGGATAATTTATTAACTGCACAGAAATATATATATATATGAACGTTAAATATTTTTTTTCTGAATATGGGAAATGGTCTGAATTTTATTACGTATTATTTCTGCACTCAGATCCTCAAGATGAATGTTTCCGTATATTGTCCATCTTTTGATATTTTGATAATTTCTGTTAGATAAGACATGATTGATCTAAGGGATATAAGAATAATGACTTTCAAGTTTCAAATTTTATCGAGTAAATAAATGAATGAATGTATAACTCGTTATATATTAACATATTACCAAATTATTTTGTCACAGACTGTTTTTCGGTTTAAGTTAATAACATTTATATCCCTATCTATTTCTCTTCTGTATATGAGCACGTTGTTATGTTGACAAAGAATTAGTACATGTATCACTCAGTTAATATGGTTTATTTCATAATTTTTCCTTTATAACCATCCACCTCCGAATCCCAAATGAATTGATATCAGAACACAGAGCAACTAGTAAACTGATCAAAATATATCACGAAAGCAAATGAGTACAATCTTTCTGATAATAATTTAAAGTCTGAAGCAACTAGTAATCCTTTCCTTCTGCCTGTCCATCCACGAAATCAAATCTTCTAAACTGTTTTCAACTATGATGTAGAAGACATAAATAACGATTTGTTTTAGTCACAATTGATTGATCACTGGGTGGTGATCAATGTCATGCTTGTCTAGTCCTTATTAGTGCAGATCGAATGCTATCGATCATGTTGCAATGTGACCACCAGTCTAGGTGACTCGACACTGCGGGGACTATGTATTGAGATTTTAGATGGTAGTTGGAGGTAGTCGACAGGAAACCCTGGACCCAGGTTTCGTGCTACTTGGCACTCGTCAATTGTGATTACATCTCAGTCCTACAGGAGGTTGGTCACGGCTCGGATAGCTCAGTGGTAACGTCTCTGACTGTGAAGCTGGGTGACACGAGATCGGATCCGCCACGGAGCACTAGTTCCCTCAAGATTACAGGTAAACCTTGCTGACGAGTGCCAAGTAGCACGAAACCTGGGTCCAGGGTTTCCTGTTGACTACCTCCAACTACCATATAAGATTTGTTTTAGTTTTATGAATAAAATTTACTTAGGTCCATTGGCTGTATGAAACTTCAAGTTGAACTGATAATAAAATATAACTATTAATTATAAAGTGTATAGTTTTAATAATCCATCTATACATGATATAAGTTTTAATCTTAGAGATTTTATTTCAGCCAATAACAGATAGATCATCTACTTATCGACTAATGTATCTTCGTCTTTATAAAGTATTTTCAACATTTGTCATTTAATAAAAAAGATTGGTTCAACGAATGGGTATTTTATTTTAATTCCAATAAATAAACAAGTGTTTATTCAATGACTTGAAATGTACATAACTATATATAACATCTATGTGTTGTATCATTATACCCAATATTTACAAATAAGAATACTGTCCAGTATATAATCCTAATGGTTTACGCCTTTATTTAAGAAAGAAATATATAGTGAAAATTCCCATTTTGCCATTTGGTAAATAAAGAAGGAACGAATTAAGCGAAGAAATTTCTTTTCAATTAGTTTTTCATCATGGCTCTACACTAATATATATACGTTTTACAATAATAATATAATACTCATCGAGTGGATACGTTACGTAATAATTACATAATGACATTTAAATTAACATTAATTAATTGGAAGAAAGAGGATTATTAATATTCAAAGTGATCAAGAAGTTGCTAAGTTGCGTAATGTAAGAAACAAAGAAGGAACAGAATTTTAACGGATGGTCAATAGGATGGTAGTTACGTAAGAATCAAGAGATGAATGTTGAGAAGTTATTAAGTTCAAAAGCAACAGAAATAGATTTACAAAAGTTTTAAAAAATTACAAAAATTACAAAAGTTTTAAAAAGTTAAAAAAAAAATGGAAGAAGTATGAAAAATAGTTATTTTGAAGGAAATCTTAAACTGATGGCCAGGGCAGGGAAAGTGGTTGTACGAATCTCTTTTGTATGCAAAGGTCAGGTTTGTGAACATGGATTGCGATGGCTTCCGCAATATGAAAGAGGCGCACTCGTAAACCATGTGGCTAATTAGATGGGATATTGTAGATAACCTTAAAAGCTTTATTCAATTCGACTTGATGACCTGTGTCAACCAAGTGAGAGAGAATAGAACTTTTAATCACTTTTACCTGTCCTTTGTTTAACCACGACGGATGATGTTCAGTAATGCGATGACGGACTTGCCGAATTGTACGCCCAATATAACTGGCTCCACAGGAGCAGTTGAAACGATAGATACACATAGATTTGGCGAATTCAGGCAGTCTGTCTTTGTTGGCTGTTCTTATCTTAGGATAGTTGTAGAAGATTGCATTTAATCTGGCAGCATTAAATGTTTTTTGTACGGCTCTTCTTAGTTTCTGAGTTAAGGTTTCTTCAATGGTGTCATTTATGAATTGTAGTTTTATGAATAGTACCTTCTTATGGACGGTGGGTATCTTTGTCCTTGTTTTCTTCTCCATCATATGTTTGTCGATGAATTTCATGGGATACCCATTCATGCTAAGTAGGTTCCGAATATTATTCAATTCTTCTTCGATGGTGTCTTCAGAGCAAATCATTCTAGCCCGATGTGTCAAGATTTTAATCAAGTTCCTTTTGTATCTGATTGGAACTGCACTATAGAAATGAGTGTATTGTCCTGCTGAAGATTTTCTGTGTACCCCTCTTTTTAAAGTTCCGTCTGCTCTTCTTTTTAGCTGGATATCTAGAAATGATATGCTGTCGTTCTGTTCATCTTCTGATGTAAATTTAATTGATGGATGAACGTTATTAAATGTATTAAGTAAATTGTCCTTATCATTCTCTTTTTCTAGTACTATGAAGGAGTCGTCTATATAGCGATAATAAGTTGGTAAATGGCTAATTATGCTTTTAAGTGGTCCGTTTTCCAGTTTTGCAAGGAAAATATCAGCCAGTAGAGGGCCCAATGGTGATCCCATGGCAACTCCATCTAGCTGTCTATAGTATTCGTTGTCAAATCTGAATTGTGCATTCATTGTGCATCTGAGAATTAACTGTTTTATCGCGGATGCTGGAATCGGGGTTTCTATGCGTCTCTCTGTTAGTTCATTGCAAATAAAATCAACTGTTTCTTGTAATGGAATGTTAGTGAATAAAGATGATACATCAAGTGATAACATGAAATTATTCTTGACTGATAAATTTTTTATGTTCTCAACAAATTCAAAGGAATCCTTGACACTATGCTTGACAATTTCTTTGTGTAATGGTTTAAGAATTTGCACCAACCATTTTGCTATAGTATGATACGCTGAGTTATTCATATCTAAAACTGGTCGAAGGGGTAAGCCACTTTTGTGTATTTTTGGTAGGCCATATAGTCTTGGTGTCATCGTTCACACAATTCAGATTTGACAACGAATACTATAGACAGCTAGATGGAGTTGCCATGGGATCACCATTGGGCCCTCTACTGGCTGATATTTTCCTTGCAAAACTGGAAAACGGACCACTTAAAAGCATAATTAGCCATTTACCAACTTATTATCGCTATATAGACGACTCCTTCATAGTACTAGAAAAAGAGAATGATAAGGACAATTTACTTAATACATTTAATAACGTTCATCCATCAATTAAATTTACATCAGAAGATGAACAGAACGACAGCATATCATTTCTAGATGTCCAGCTAAAAAGAAGAGCAGACGGAACTTTAAAAAGAGGGGTACACAGAAAATCTTCAGCAGGACAATACACTCATTTCTATAGTGCAGTTCCAATCAGATACAAAAGGAACTTGATTAAAATCTTGACACATCGGGCTAGAATGATTTGCTCTGAAGACACCATCGAAGAAGAATTGAATAATATTCGGAACCTACTTAGCATGAATGGGTATCCCATGAAATTCATCGACAAACATATGATGGAGAAGAAAACAAGGACAAAGATACCCACCGTCCATAAGAAGGTACTATTCATAAAACTACAATTCATAAATGACACCATTGAAGAAACCTTAACTCAGAAACTAAGAAGAGCCGTACAAAAAACATTTAATGCTGCCAGATTAAATGCAATCTTCTACAACTATCCTAAGATAAGAACAGCCAACAAAGACAGACTGCCTGAATTCGCCAAATCTATGTGTATCTATCGTTTCAACTGCTCCTGTGGAGCCAGTTATATTGGGCGTACAATTCGGCAAGTCCGTCATCGCATTACTGAACATCATCCGTCGTGGTTAAACAAAGGACAGGTAAAAGTGATTAAAAGTTCTATTCTCTCTCACTTGGTTGACACAGGTCATCAAGTCGAATTGAATAAAGCTTTTAAGGTTATCTACAATATCCCATCTAATTAGCCACATGGTTTACGAGTGCGCCTCTTGCATATTGCGGAAGCCATCGCAATCCATGTTCACAAACCTGACCTTTGCATACAAAAGAGATTCGTACAACCACTTTCCCTGCCCTGGCCATCAGTTTAAGATTTCCTTCAAAATAACTATTTTTCATACTTCTTCCATTTTTTTTTTAACTTTTTAAAACTTTTGTAATTTTTGTAATTTTTTAAAACTTTTGTAAATCTATTTCTGTTGCTTTTGAACTTAATAACTTCTCAACATTCATCTCTTGATTCTTACGTAACTACCATCCTATTGACCATCCGTTAAAATTCTGTTCCTTCTTTGTTTCTTACATTACGCAACTTAGCAACTTCTTGATCACTTTGAATATTAATAATCCTCTTTCTTCCAATTAATTAATGTTAATTTAAATGTCATTATGTAATTATTACGTAACGTATCCACTCGATGAGTATTATATTATTATTGTAAAACGTATATATATTAGTGTAGAGCCATGATGAAAAGAAATATTTGTTATCATGCTACTGAAATTATTCACACATCGTCTTTCAAATAGTTGCACCAACTAATTATCTACATAAAAATGAAATTAATCGTTTTTATTGTTTGAAATCGTTTATTAATATATCTCAGCATGGGGTTGCGGAGATTGTTAATGTTTTGATTGAGATCATGAATCGATCGATGTTGGACTACCGTTAAAAACTTGGAAGCACTAGATGGACGTTTCGTCCTAGTATGGGATACCTCAGCAGTGCGCATCTATGATCCCTCACACGGGATTTGAACCCAGGATCTTTGGTCTCGCATACGAACACTTAACCTCAATATGTATATACTTTTCTATCCGGAAAACACCATTTACAAAGTATTATTAATTAAAATATATTTTTATTATTTTGTATTAAAATGACGTATCACTACGTAATGTTTATATGTTTCTTTCGGTAGTTATTTGATTTAAGTACTGTTAATCTAAAGTTACATATAGACTATATTGGATAAGATCTTAGAAAGGATGACTACTGAATCCAATATTAAGTTAACATTTAAAAATATAACTGTTTTAATTATCGATCCCCTAAATTAACTTTTCACGTACCAAACATTTATTTGACCCGTTTAGTAAATATCATTCTGAAGTCATCAGTGTTTTTTGAATTTTTGTGTCGGATATCTGTCCTGTTGTACTGAAAGAGTTTACTTCAAGTGTATTGCAATTTTCTAAGTATCGTTCAGTGAATCAGTAGTCCAATTATTGTACTTTTTTAAATATTTCATTATTTGAGCTTTGTTTGATTGCAAAATGTCCAGACAATATTACACTTGAGTTTATTTAAATGGTTAATTTGTTCAGTCCCCATGTTGGTGAGTTTAATATGCTTTTTGTGCATTATTAGTATATTAGGGAACTAGAGACACAATTATTTCATAATGTATGTAAACAAAGTAGTCCAGTCACACATTAGCACTTTTCTTAGAGTTGTTTTTCTTATTTTCCTTATTGTGAATTGTGAAAATTTCTCCCCACTTGTCTATGCAAAAAGCTTTTTCGGATGAATAAGGGAATCGAATCCTGGATATTCAAATTTCATGACTAACAACATAACATGATAACATTCAAACATTGAGTCAGAATTCAACAGTCCATATTCTAAACCTTTTTTCTCAATACATCATGAGTGTTATCTCTAATATCTGTGATACCTATCTCACTACGAACTTAGTTGACTCACGTTCCACCGATAACTATAGAAACCCTATTTTGCAGCGGATCAGTAATGACTACAAAGTTACAGTAATGATGATACGGTAAAATTTGTTGTATAAAATGTTTCAAGTAATAATTTTCATTAAATACTAGTCAGTGAAATACTTGTCTTGGATATTTATATAAATTTAAATATTTTTTGTTATTCTAGTTTGGCTTCCAATCACAACTTTCAACAGACTACAATCACATCAATTATTGTAACAAAATTTATGATACCGATACTAACAAATCTTCATCAGAATTTCTATCACCTATTAACTTATCCCAACAACTTCCGTGCAAATCTTATTCACCTCCTTACTCTTGCGCACATTTTAACTGTTCTAATAATTCTACAACATCTTACAATATTAGTAGTACACCATCGAAACCAATTTTTATTGATCCTACAGATTTTCAAACTCATCAGCCTACACAATCTTCTTTAACATTTCCATCATATAATTATCTTTCAATTAATACTACGTCAACTACTATTAATACTGATAATACTGCTGCTACTAATGCTACGCCTCATATTAGCAGTATGACTTATCGTCGCAATACATCTTATCAACCATCTCAAGCGCCATGTAATCAGAATATTTCAACATTTGCAGCTACAAAAGAATTTAAATGGCTACGTCGTAATAAACCGGTATGTAATCTATACAAAGATTTTTCAGTTCTTCATTCCCAATAGATTATCATATTCACCATGAACAATAATTGTAAAGAATTCATACATTTAAAAATTAGCAAGTAGTGCTTAGTTAGTTTGGTTTTAGAATTTGCTTATGGCAAATTGTCATCTGATTTCGCAACCTCAAGTGGTGTCCATCAAGGCTGTCCACTATCTCCATTTCTGTTCAATTTCAGCATAGACCTACTGCTAAAAATAACGTTTTTATCGTCTGAATTTTCAGGAATTACTCTCCTAGGAGATTCACTTATCGACTTATAATATGCAGATGACATGGTCCTGTTTGGTGAAGACGCTTACAAAATACAGAGTCTCTTGGTAGCGCTGAGCAACAATGCCACGATGCTTGCGATGCGTTTCTCCCCCTCTAAATCGAAGTTGTTACTTCAGGACGGACCTGCGTCAACACCTGAACTAAGGATAGGGAGTGAAGTAGTCGAACGTGTCGACAACTTCACTTATCTTGGAAGTCTGATCAGCCCTATTGGGTTGATGCCTGACGGAATCGCCGCATGGATTTGAAAATCTCGATTGGCTTTTGCCAACTTACGTCACCTATGGCGAAGGCGAGATATCCGTCTATCAATAAAAGGACGAGTATACTGCGCGGCAGTCCGTTCTGTTTTAATTTACGGCAGCGAAACATGGCCATTAAGAGTAGAAGACACTCGTAAGCTACTAGTATTTGACCACAGATGCCTTATAAATATTGCTGGCGTCTGCTGGGTTCACTGAGTAAGTAATAGGGAGGTTAGACGCAGGGTATTAGGGAATGATGGTAAATCAGTTGATGAGATTGTGGATCTTCGACGACTGCAATGGTTGGGCCACGTATTACTCAAGTGCAACCACCGACTACCACTGTGCGCAATGCTGACTAGTGTTGGAGATGGATGGAAGAAAGTTAGGGGTGACCAAACCAAAACGTGGCATCAGTCCATAAAGTGACAAACTCCTGTCCTGAGCCACGTTGATAGATGCAACCGACTTGGTTAAGGTCCGCACGACTATCGTAACCAATGGTTGGAGACTCTGGGTGACATGGTTGAGAATCGATCACAATGGCGTAGATGTGTTATGACCTTGGATCGCTTTTACCCCGTCGACAGTTTGTTATGACTTGACCTTGATCTGTCTAGTCTAGATTATGACCCTGACGCAATAGACTGTGCGGCTTAACCTTGAGGCTAATACGCGTGAGTTCGAGATGGGGTAGAGAGAGAACTATTCTAGAACCTGATTGGTTGGCAAGCACGCAAGTGAGAGAAGACAAGACATCTGGAACACTCTGAGTTCTCTGAATTCGGATTAGTGCAAAAATGTACATGAATAAATAAGTGAATATCCTGACGACAACATACGATAATTTGGAAAAATACAATTATGCCCGAAACTGGGAATTAGGGTAGAAAATAAGATGCAAAATATTATGTTTAAATTACAATATTTTCGGAACAAAAAAGGGTATGGCAGTGAATGATATATCTAACGAAAGCTCATGTTTTGAAGAATAAAATAGGGACAAAAATAAATATAAGTGTTTTACAAGGTTTGAATAAAATGAAATAACGTCCGAAGAATTAGCTTTCGTAGTTTGCCTGGGCTTCTTATTTCCCTATTCACAACAAGGTGTATAGACTCTTTCTCTTCCCTTAAACCGTGGGATTAAAATTGCTTCATACCTTTATTTGTACGAACTAATTCTCTCTCCCTTTATCATATTTTTATATTCGATCTTTCTTTTATATATTACTACCATTGAAGTAACTACTTCTATGAATTTGGTGTTCGTCTCGTTGTGCTAATGAGGCGTGGCAACTTGGGCAGATAAATATATGTGCTTGGTCCTAACGTTGTAACTGACTGACTTTTTAGAATTCGAGTCTTATCACTAGTAATCCTCACACTCGATACCATTTAAGAAAAGGAAAGTTCAGTGCATTTTAGGTCTTCTGGGGGACACCTGACTGTTTCTTGATTATCATTAAAAAATGTCATGGTTAATATAATCCAGTTGAAATAAAATAATGAAATTCTCCTTACTCAATCTTATCATGTTTTATATAGTATACCCCAGAACGGAATCATAAAATTAATTACTGGAACGCCTCACTGTCAACCAACAGATTGGTATTGTTAGGCTTTAAATAAATTATATAACTCAGAGTCTTATGTGCAAACGTTCACATGATTATTGAGTTGTACTAAAGCTAGAGAAATATTTTTGAAATTGGTGTTTGGTGATGATTTTGAAACTACCATAAACTAGTTTTATCCAACTTTGATTTTCCGATGAACTTCATTCAAAATAATTAACTCCATACTTTTCGAAGGATAATACATCGTATCATCCTTCAGTCAGTCAAAACGTATAGCCTGTACGTATGTATATCGATAGAAGTTACCATACCCCATTAGCACACCGAGATGAAATTGTCAGTTCAAATCCTAGAATAGTAGATGTAGTAACAGTATCAGTGATAATAGTAAAGACTGGGCACCGATTATACGACTCAAAAAGAAAATATAAATTGGCGAGATCAATACAAAAAACGTTATACGGAATTTAAAATCTCAGGATTTGGTGGAAGACAAAGAATAGATGTACCTATGCCATTGCGAACGATTTTGAGCCATGCTATTCAAAGTTTCTAACCATTGGTTACGATAATCACACGGACCGCAACCAGGTAGTCTGTATTTAATAACATGTCAGTGACTTCATAGACTAATTCCATATTTTAGTTTAACCAACCTTAGCTTCTTGAAAGCCTGCATCTGCACCCAAATACATCGCTCATCGAGGCAGGCGTTGGTTGGGCATGCGCAACATATGTCCCAACCACCTCAGTTGATGAAGATTTCTCACCTCACTAATCGGTTTACCATACCTACCTAGTACTCTATTCCTAACCCAATCGCTGCTTACTATGTAGTCCCTGCAATTCTCCTGGGTGGTTTCATCCTATATGAACTATTCTTTGAATACACCTAAGATCGAATGCTGACAACTTAACCTTGTCGTTTAGAGTTACTATGTCGTACATCCTTACAATTACGCAAAATAGACTACATTATAAATATACGTAATAACATATATCATTGGATTCCCTAAACTATTTATACATTCATATTGAGTCTTGAAGCAATCCCATAGGTCTATAAATGACTATACCTTTCTGTTATGTAGAATTCTTTAACTTTCAAGTCGTAGTTTTATTTCCATATAATTAAAGTTTATTCTGATTTCAATTATTTTATATGGATTTTACTACAAAGTTCGTGATTTAAAGAATGTTAGTAGTAGGTAACAAGATGAATTAAATTACATCCTTTGTACGCATATCATGGATACAACAAAATATAAAAATACTAGGTATGGCCACGTCAAATATGCATCCTATTTGTTTAATGATTGAATGCTCTAATCATTAAGTCATAACCCAATTACTAGTTGAATTTTACAAGCAATCTATCTGTTTGTCGACGTTTTTTCTTATACATTATTCTCGTACTGTTTTGTATGTTCAGTTGAAATTTTTCGGGCATCGTTTTTCATTGGAAACCCAACCAAATCCATCTCCACCTACAACACCAGCTCCACCTGTACCACAAACTGCTCCTCCTCCGCCTCCATCTGAATCTTATCTTTTCCCTTTTATTACACCAAAGAAGTCTATGTCGACGATGAACAACTGCAGTTCAACAGTACATAGTAAATCTAACTTATCAGTCAATAATAATTTGTCAGGATCATTGTGTTTTGAAACGCAACAATTACCTGTAAGTACTTTTTTAAGTATGCAGTATTGTTTTCTGCATGTTCAATGTATCTCAATCTAAAGAATTTTTCTTTTTTGGATCAGTGTTGCAGAACAGTATTACGAATTCGTTTTCTGTTGATCTGTACTGCATCTTGAGGACCCGACGACCGGAGGTTTTTGTCGTGGTTAAATATTTTCAATGACGTTTCATGAATGTATGGACACTAATTAAAATCTAGTATTTTCATAAGCGTTTGTATCGTGCAAACCTAGCCAAGTATTATTTGAGATTATGATTTTTTATCACTTTTACAGGATATCACGTTCGTTAAATAAAATTACTGTTGTCACCTGTTCTGACTATTTGTTATTACGCCTGTTTAAAGTTATTCTAGTTTCTGGACAGATAAATCATTCTGATCTTTTCGATATTCTACACACTTTCACATATTCAACCTTATCAATTATACACTTGGATCCTCGAGCGTTTTCAAATGTATGCGTGTACGTCTATCGCCTTATTTATCTGCATTTTGTATGCCGTGTATTTTAACGTATGAGGCGATTCATATTTCGTTATCATCATCCCGGGAGTCAATTTAATAGCTATAAATTGATATTTCATGTAAAGAACGGAAGTTACCCCATCGTAGATGGTACCTTGACGCAGTGGTAGAGGTTGCCTATCGCAATGTCCCACTCGAATTATATCGGTTGGAACACTTATCCATTTATATTTTAAAATAACGGTCAGGTTTTTTAGGTAGCGGTAAAACTAAAAGCAACAAACTCATGTTCCGGGAGCAAGTTATACTGTATTAGGGTATGACGACATTAAGGTGTTTTCGTCGAGTAAGTTTTCAAAACGGCACTTCTTTCTCACAGCGGTAGTTGGGGATTAAAAAAGGCCAATTCTTGAGGTCACACATCTCATTTTGTCTAGTCGATCTCTGTTTTCTACAGTAAGGTATTAAAAGTGTAGATTTAGTGCATCAAAAAACACTCATAAAAACCTATGTATAACCGACCTTGAGCAGTTGTTCCTTGGGTTCTGTGGCCCATCTCAACTCAGTTCATGAAATTCTATATCAGGTTTTCCGAAACTGCTCACCACGCTACATGTTGGAGACTCCAATATCCCAATCGTATGTCATATCAGACAGTAAGCGATGAAAGAAAACAAAATGGAAAAAGGTCTCTGCAATTGTCTAGGAAATAAGTATTAAAAAATCAGCTGTTGGTGAAACTATTTCAGAAAATAAGACGGGACCACTTTTCGCTTTCAATCCAAGGGGTTAGACAGATGGGGTGAGCACTACAAGGAACAGTTCAATTTCCCTTCAGCTATCTTTCAGTTACCTAATATCATGAAAAAAACCTAAATAGCAAAAATCAAAGAAGTCATCCAATTCTTTTTGAGGCTAAAAAATCTTAAAACATCAGACCCTGATGGATTAAATCTGAAGATCCTCTAAAGTGGTAGTCCAGTTTAAGCAGTTAGATCAACTGAGCTATTAGCAAGGGTTTGGGAGCTAGTTATAATTCCATCTGATTGGTCTCAATTAATGATCATTCTAGTTTGTAAAAAGGACAGAAAACATCTTATCATAAACGTAGAGGAATCAGTTTGGCTAGCACGGTATCTAAAATACTAACCTTCGTAATCATTCAACGCTTTCCGACCCTTAAAACACGTAAAACTGGGTTCATTCCAGGTTTAAATGGGAATGTTTCGATCAAATGCTCGCCCTTCGTCAAGTGGAACACATATATTGCAATATTCGATAATAATTCCATTTTTTGACCTAAAAGCAAGATTCAACTTCCTCAACCGAATGGTTTTGTGACGGTTTTTCACTGAAGTGTGTACCGTGAAAGTAAAGAAGACTTGTGACGGCCCTCTATTCGCACACAACTGATTGTCTCAAATCTTGAGGCTTTGAAACGTTGCCTATGACAGTAACAGACATGCGCTGACTGCACGTTTTTCGTCATTGGTGTTTCAAAAACTGCTCACATATGTCTGAACTACCGAATGAGCAGGTTAGGAGTTGTGGTTATAAATGTTCATCGACTGAGGTAGTTAGGACGTGTGTTTCATGTCGCTAACCATCATTTACCTCGACTAGCTATGTTTGCTGGCGAAGAAGTAGGTTGAAAGAAAGCTGGAGGTGGACAAACTAAGACATGGGATCAGTCCATAAAGTCATTGGCTGATGAGCTGAGCGATGTTGGTAAGTCCAGACTACTTGGTCGGGGTCCTTTCCAGCATCGTACCCAACGGTTGGAGATGTTGGTTGACATGGCTAATTGTCGGTCACAATAACATAGATACATTCAATCTTTAGCGTCCCTTAGTTTGTGCGTTTCAAATTTTTTAGACCTTTTACTGTCTGAATTCATTATTTTTTCTCAAACCATATTCTCTATCGTATTTTTTACTTCCACATTGGCAATCATCTCATTGTGCCAATGCGGAGTGTGAACTTTGGTTAGTTCACATTTATGACGGGTTCTATGTTGACTTTGACTGACTGACTGCATATATTAGATGCAAATGCGATAAATTTATTACGTATCTCGACTAAAGATTTCTTTTTAATTTATATACTTTTTTGTAAATAATCACAAATGATAAAGCATGATTTACGTGGATCTTCGTGTTCTTAGAGGGATAACTACTGAAAGATAGAAATAGCCTATGTAGAATATTTGGCTTTTGTGTATTTGATTTTACACATTTAGCTTCCTTTATTATCTTGAAGAGAAGAAGAACAAATAATTGAGCAGAATAAGAATCTATTTAATTTCATAAAGTTCTCATCAACTGCCTACAGCCTATAATATTTAAGCCAAAGAATCAAAATTATTGTAATTATAACTTTAAAACTGATTATGTATCATCATGGTGGAGTAATGCTCGTGAGGACACATAAAGATTTGTCGTAAATAAGTATAATGTATGGAAGAAGATTCTGGATTATCAAACATAGTAACAAGAGGTAAAATAAATTACGAATAACATAAGCTGAGATCAGTCAATTAAAAAAAAGAATAAAGTTATGAAGTTAAAAGAAGTAATGCGATTAAAACGAAAGAAAGGGATGACGAAAAAATAATTGAAAAAGCGATGTTATAAACTGACGATTAAGTCAACATAGTAAGGAAAGATTTACAACAATAAGTTCATCTTGAGTCATTTGATGGTTATGACTTCGGTGAATTTGAGAAGAATGGAATTTAACTGTCGATTAATGATGCTGAAAGATTTCAGTCTATCAACATGATGCTCTGTGTCACAGAGGTGTTTTGTTATGGCACTTAAAAGCCCTTAATCCCATTGACCTTGGGATTTTTGTTATACGTTCTTGGGATCGAACGTAGGTCTTTCTTCCTGTTCTACCAATATAACTGCTTTGGTTTGTAAGCTGCTGATGAGAACTTCATAAAATAAAATGAATTCATGTTATTTTACTTCATTATTTGCAATTGCATGATAAACGATCATAATGTGGTTTGCGCTACTTATGCGGACAGATATAAGTAGCTTGTGACAGGAATAGGAATTCGAATACTTACCAGCAGAAGATTGAAATGAAAAGGATAGAAAGGAAAACGGAGAGCAATCGGAATAACAACTGGATCAAAGAATATTGAAGCATGTAAAGGATAATTAAAGGAGGATATACAAATGATGTATTTACTGTATGATTTTCATGATTTACATAGGCACTGTTTGATTTTCCATTAAATCATAAATTGGTTTTTTTTCCAATTAAGTCTTCGTTCACTACAATAATAACTATTTGAATATTTTCTAATCAAAGTTACATATTACTTCGTTTATAATGTTCATCTAGTAATTTTGGGTCAGCTGAATATCAGTATGATATTTACCTTATTGTTTCTCATAAAATGTCGGCATTTTAATTGACTGCTAAGTGTAAAAAATATCATAGTTTAACATTTAATGTTAAATAAGTGGGTTTAGTTTATTATTTAACAAATCAATCACATATCTCATTCAATATACTTTCTATTAGTCAATAAGCAGATAACTTCGAATGGATCAGGTTTTTCCTGAAGCTATTTTGAATTTGACAAATAACACTTCATACATATTACACTGCTTAGTTTCAAACTTAAATTTTCTCACGTAACTACTTGTGATAATTAACCGGTTATATGGACTTTGAATTACTACTATCAAAGATACATTGCCAAATTGATCTACCACTACTTATTTCGCATTGATTTTATAGTTAGAGATAGATAATGGCTTAGAGTTGTATCCAGGATGCGCGTTTCGTCCTGCTTCGGACTCGTCAGCTGAATGCACCTGTACCCCAAAGGTAATGTTCTTTCAGGGACTCGAACCGAGTGGCGTTTGCTTCAAACAACTTAGCGTTATCCACTTAGCTACTGAGTTCAGATGACCACTAGCTTATGCATTGGAGTGAAGTTTAATCCATTTGTATTGGTCCTTTAGATCTTCCCATTTATAATTAAAACTGCAATCGAAGCAGTCCGCTCAGAATACTGTGTTAAACATCAATGAGAAGATTCAAACAACCATTACATATGGATTTTATAGTTAATTTAAAAACCTATATATTATTGTACAGACTTGACGCAGTGATTGAAACGAAACATTTCTTCTAATTTATAGTTTTAGTGTCTTAATTAGAATATTTGATAAAATATAGGAGAAAAATTATGATACTCCAACATATAGCTAATATTTAGAGATATGGATCTAGTTATTATTTTTAAAAGCCTGTTGTAATGTATTTGAATTTAATCCTACGAAACGCGTGTCGTTTAGTGGATTTATCGATGTTGACATTACACATTTTGTTTTAGAGTAATATCTTCACGGGTACAAAAATTTCATGTATTAATAATAATTACTTGACTTCCCATTAACTCTGTGAAATGATGAGCTAACGGTTAACGCATTTGGTTTCAATTAATAAGTCATGGATTCATACCACTTCTCTCTCTTTAGTTACTTCCGCTTGAACAGTACCATGATTGTCACACTGTCACCTTTCACGTGAGCAACATGTCTTCCGAGCCCAGTAAATAGATTTGTACTTAGTAAATAATTTGCATTGGTATATTTTAAGCGTTTGTATCAGCATTCAGTGGTTCTCCTATCAATGTATGTCCTAAAATTTGATTCTTTCAGATTTATTTTGAGTACACGTATTACATTTGATATATGCATTAGAGTTACTTGTTGGCTAAATTTTCTAAATTATTAGTTAACTGATTGCGTATTCCACCTACTATTTATACAAATAAGATTAATCAAAATAGGAGACGAAGTGAACAAAAACACCACCTGATAGAATAGGTAACGTGATTTCATTCATCAGCTGATTTCAGTTCATCGGAAGTTTTCACGTTCTGAACCTTAATATTTGATTTTTCTTAAAAACTAATCAGTTACATCATATTTGTTAATAGCTGAACTGAAACACACAGTGTTTCTTGTAATTTTCCAATATGAGGTTTTGCAGGTTGAATGTTTTCGGGATCAGGAACTAATCTAAGTTAGATAACCATTGAAAACCTAACAGTACTGGACGGCCGTCTCATCTTCGGATGAGACTCCCCTCAGTAGTGCTCAGGTACAATTCCACAAGCGGGAATCGAACCCAGGACCTCCGGTTCCAAGTAAACGTTCACGTTCTAGACTTACTGAGCCGAGATCGAATGGTGTAAAAGCCTAACTTCAGTCAATCCACGATATTGTATGGTCATCGTTCGTTGAGTTTGGTGAGTGCTTCCTTGATTAGTTAGAATACTTCATTTTTAACAACATAAGGTTGCCTCAACTAGATGGTTTGATTATGAAGTTTTCATTGTTGTTCTGGTCAACAGTATTATCATCAACACTTGGAGTTCAACACCAGTGGAAGTATTCATCTGAATGAAACAAAATATTATTATATAACAGTTGAATCTAGCTAAAACAAAATCACAAGTAGTTTTCATCAAATCATATAACCACTGAAAACGATAAGAAGCTGGATAAACTACGCAGACTTTCTATTCATGAAAAGTACATTATTAGACTTGAGATTTTGACTTTAATACATCATTCAAAAAGATAGTAAAATAATAGACAGGAAACCAGAAGCAGGGCATACAAAAAATAATTGTATTGTTGCCAGTGTGAAAGAGATTTCTTTGTTTTAGCATCCCTTACGTTTTAATATTACAGTAAGTATGCATAAATCTTTTCACTCTTTTCTATGCTTTACTGCCAATAATATTTAGTAAAAAAATGTAGCAATCCTCAATGTACTTCTATCATATCATGAGTACTTTGCTAGGAAATCGCAATCATGATTGTAGGTGCTTTTTCATTACTCCAATACTAAGCGACGTTGAGCATAAATGAACAGTTAACTTAATACATATGCACCATCAAAAAGATAATGATTTTCCTCAGTATATATCCACTACCTTTTGATAATAATTAATACCTGAGGTTAATAAGCTTTAGTAGTCAATGTAGAAGAATGCTAAAATGAATTAAAACTTCATTATAAAATATCCGTAATCATCTAACTAGGACATTATTGATCAGCAAATCGTTTTTCTCGAGACTCTTGGAAAAATGGAGACTTATTAGGTGTTGAATCAAATGTATTCGTACATATGTGGTAATTATATATATTTATATTCAACTCTCATACAGTAACTGTGGCTTAGCTTATTAACATCCACTTGCTCTTTGATATTTACATTAACAGGACTTATCACATTTGAATAAATATTCATTACAGTCAGATATAAGCAAACATTAGGCAGTTAGATTAGAAGATTTGGCCGCCTAAAATAAATACAGAGACAAATCATTCGTCTTAACAGGTGTTTCAGTTACTTGTCTTATGGACTGCTTTATTTTCTATTCTTTGCTAGTAAGACAATGACTTGATGGCTTTAATAATCAAGTCTTTAGTCGAAAGTACATATTCTATTCTATACAAATACTTTTGGAGCAGGAGAATAGTTTGTCAATCTGACAATAATTTTTTATCGTTCATAAAATTTGATTTGAAGTTCTTAAGACAAAGATATTCATTTACTAGATAACTGTTAGAGAGTTCATATCACTAAGACTATACAGCAAACTTATCTGTTTATCATACTGCTGTGTTAATGTCATCGTGAACAAATTAAGTACTTAAAAAAGTATAGAATTATAGGTCGGTCACTACTATGGTATACTAGTTTTTTTGATGAGACTATAATTGATGGATAACCTTTAAGCGGCGCCTTAGTGACCTTGAGAGTATCCACAACTTGGACCAAATGAAGGTTATCAGCCAGTGTGAGGAATTAGAGTTATGAATTTCGCGCCAAAATCCAAAACCTGCTATCTTATACCTGATTGGTTCGTCCATAAATTATAATCTCGCCGTTTTTTAAAAAATACCAATCGTACTCTATAGTCATAATATAACATCAAGTTGGTTTATGATAAATAATCATAAGTTTTTATATTTTTTGTAGAGAATATTTTTATCTTAACTTTTCTATCTAAAATATTCATCACTTTTATCTCTTCATTTCGGATAATAAAGCAATTGATTTCTTCTACGTTATGGGATGAAGTTTGGGAATGCTAAGCATTTTTATCCGTTACGCATTATTATAATGAAGTAGCTTGGAAAATGGTTCAAGCACTACAATCTAAGCGTTTTTCTACAACCAATATGACTAAATATGCTTATAGTGTAGCACTTTTTCAGCCTGTTGTTTATTATTATTTGAGTTTTTTGGTGTAAAAATTAACCTTTACTTCTTATAAATTTTAGGTTACTCGTTATCAGTCGTCAGGACGAAATATGACTGGTTTCTCATTGTTTGTGAATAACAATAGTAACAACACTTTGAAATCTGTATTTTTTAATCATCATAATAATACAAAAACAACAACAACTTCTACCATTGTATCATCATTCAGACATCAATAGAAATTGATATTCATCGAATTTGTGATTGGAATATATTTACCTCCTTTGTATTCATATTATATCTTTTGTATTAACAGTTTATCATTATATTCAATGTTATGTTCCTTTTACAAGTTATTTTCTAATCATAAAACAATCAAGATTGTTATCTATAACGAAATGATACAATAAATATTTCATTCGTTCGCATTCATGATGATAATATTCTCTATTGAATCACTTTCTATGCTGTAAGTTCATAGATATTATCAAATATTTTTTTAGTAGATTATGTTACGTTTTTATTTTAATGAAGTATAACTGGGATCTTTTAGGATAAGACAAACTTCTTCAAGGTGCTAAATGGTGTTTTAGTCTGGCAAGACTGTTCTTTTTGTTTAGTTATTTTCTAAAAGGTACAATCTTGATGGGTTAGTTTGCATATGTACTCAACAGACCATATATATATATATCAGTTTAATCCTCTCTTAGTCAAATGATTGAATGGAATAACTCGTTACTCATCTAAACAATATTCTTTGATTAAGCTTCATATATGCTGAGATAATAAACTTTCTACACTCGTGTTTTTATGTATTCGTCATTGATTGATGTAAACTTGAAAAGCATTTTAAATCACTAAACTTTAGCATAAAAAGGCTACATGTAACCGTCCATATCAGTTTATTAATTTTCAAATACCTAATACATACAATACACTCAATTTCAAAGTTATATGATTATAATGGCAGACGGATTGAAAGAAATTTATCGATCTCATCAATGCACATAAAGGTCATTCAAAACGTTTTATCGATTGGAAGTTTAGTGTTGCACGTTGGTTTATTTACTTTGGATAATGTAATCGTCCACGTAGGTCACTAGTTGTCTGCTCGATATATTTCATCACTAAATGACAATAGCTCAGAAACCTTAGAGAAATAATTTAGTGTAACATAGTTGTTTAGCTGAGTAAAGCGTACGGTATAGGTTATATTTTACTAATTCCTTTTCGGTATCATTTTTCTATGGTAACAAAGAATTGCTGATACCAATGGTACAACACTATCATTTTTACATCCTTCAGTCTTGTTTTTAAATAAACACCTAGAAAATCTCGTAACTTAACCATTCATCTACCATAAACCATCAGGTTTGTGAGAGGAAAATAAAAATCTGCTACTATAATCTAATTTGTGTTGCCCATTGGAGAGTATCTGGGTTTTTTAAACCAAAAAACAACATGCCTCACTATCCCGCTGTGATAAGTGATCGTTTAAAGTGGGTGACATGCATGCAACCACAGATATTCTCCAGATAGTTTGTTTATCAAGAGACTACTGAATAATCAATGTTAAAACTAGTGTTTTTTCGAGTGAGTTTATTCGTATCGACAGTGAGGGATCGCAAACAGTAGCTTGCTTAGTTTTAGAAAGTCGGTGAATAAAATCAATTTGTCTTGCAAAATCGATACACCTTACTATAAGTGTGTTCAATCTTCCTAGAGCCTTTTGATTTCTCCGATAAATCATTTTTTGGTTGATGTACTGGTCCACTTGGATTGTAACCAGTCCTAGTTTAACTGTTTTCACGCTTAACATGCTCATTTCTGCCTTACTTGAATCTTCTTTTCAGAGAAACATTCATTGGATTGAAAAAAGAAATAAACACTGAGCACAAAAGAGATATGCAAAATGAAATATTATTATTTCCCAGACCTGACACTATTCATCATCACTGATATAACTTCTCTTTTGACAATATATACATACCCTACCTTCATAAATCGATTAGTTCTTTCTACTAGTTTTACTGTTATAAATCTTTGTAAAATAGACTATTACTTGTGTTAATCATAATTGCAGCAATAATTAACATTTTTATTATCATTGTTGTTGTTATGTTACATTGAAAGATATCTTTTGTTGCCATTTTTGCTTGAGGGTGGGGAGATTCTTCCATTTACTTCCAACATTCAGTTTATTGTGCAGTTCTATTGATTTGTTATTATATTTTGCTGACATTGCTTCAGAACTATTTTTTTAAACTCTTGTTCAATGCCAATTTGTTTTTAGATATCTCATAGGCATTTACTATCATCATCATCATCATCACCGTCATAATTATTATTATATCATCATTTATTTATTTAACACAGCGTTTCTGTTTGTTTATTTGTCACATTGTAATTTCTCTTTTTTTTTGTTTTATCTCTGTGAACTGAAATCTATTTGAACAATGTAGTGTCAATGGTAATTATATATTTGTAATTTTTATCCCAGGTAATTCTCTCCATATACAATGTAAAGATACCGTTCCTTTTCCCTGTTTTCTTTGTTCATTATTTCTAGTCATTGTATATCAGTATTGTCATCATCGACACTGTTTATTTGTCTTTTATAAATAAATAATGAAATTATTTAAAAAATTGTTGTAAACTACCAATCACCCTTTTTTCTCTGTTTTATTTATTCTCATCTCTCTTTTGTTGTTGGTGGCTAACATACAACAAAATAGAGCCAAGAAAACTATGTCGTTTAATTTCTAAAGTAATAGAAGTTTCGAACCAATTAATTAAAACTAATGATCAGTATTTTATCGCGTTGACCATGTTTTCACTTAATTCGATGTTTACCGCCAAGCAGTTTATAAATTTTCAGTGTCCATTTAATAACACCTTTTTAAGAAAATGAAAACTAATTAAGTAATATGATGTTATTAAAAGTAGGATGTAAAAACGTACTAAATATATATTTTACGGACTTAAATTAAACGATCTTTTCTCCTTATTGGTGACAGCACGCAACAGTTATTCCTTATAGTTTGAAATTACGGGTCAAATACGTAGAAAACACTAAATGTATAAAATATATTTGGAAAAACGACGGGTTAAGGTATAAATAATTGCAACATTTCTCCCAGCAACCTGGTTCAAATCTTAAGGAAATTTTGGGGATTTCTATTTGTCGTGATTTGAAATGGATACTGTCGGAGGGAAACAACTGTGAGGAATATGCCATTCATTATATATCAATACTGGCCAATAACTGTGAACAATTATTGGTCAAAAATGGAATAACAGTGCCCTAAGCAACTCTAATGTTATGAAGTCTAGGTATTAACAAATAACCAATGGGGTGTATCTCTCATTTGTTTCGCTCCAACGACGACTAACGTATGAGCGTCAATCAGCGGAACTTCGATACAATTAAGCATGGCTCAGTAGTTTTAGTGCACATACAACACTTGCAAACGTCAAACTAAGTTACAGATATCCTCCATCTCAATATCATGTACATAATTTACGAAAGTAATTCTCAGCAATACGATTAGTGTGATGTTAATTTGAATTACGAGGTGATATCAGCTGTAAAGCCCATTGAGAATCAAGAAGTATCATACAGCCGTCTGAGTATATGAATTGTTAATGAATCACGAATTGAAACGCAACAGCTGTCACATTGCCATTTGAGCGTGAGAATATGTCATTACAAACAATTCACACATTTTTGTTAGAATAAATTTGACCTAGCATTGTTTCTAAACAAAACTCGATTTAAGACAATGTATAAATAAATTCTATTTAAATGTAACACATATATTCTTTTATTAGAAAGAAAAAGCAGGTTTTTAGTCGGGAGTTAAAGATGTCATTTTTAATTTATTAATTTCTCTAGCGACTTTATGAGCAACCGGTGGTCCCTGATAAACAAAACTTGTATATAACTGTACTAAGCTAGCACCGGCATTCAACTTGGACAATGCATCTTCACCGCAGCTGATACCACCAACACCGATCAGGGGTATAGCACCTTTGGTTAATGCAGAAACTTTCCTTAAACAATCTGTTGATTTTTCAAATAATGGTCGACCGCTTAAGCCACCATATACAACATTTTGTTCATTGTTCCCTGGTATTGGAGCAGCACCACAAGCTACAGCCTCTTCATAAGTTGCAAGTGTTGTGTTTGAAATGATCATTCCATCTATTCGAGTCTATAAATTGAAAAGAGGTGTACTGTTAACTAAGGATGAATTAAATGATATGGAAACAACCTAAGTCATTATTAGTAGGTTTATGTACTCGCTTTTGAGTCATAATTTGTAGTCAAGGAGCATGGTTCGAACCAGCGTGCAACTCAATGGTTTACAATTACTAAATATCAATGGTAGTTTCTTCTACAATCGATTTATAAGACGATGTTAGTTTATTAACCTTCCGTTAGATTTATGCTCATCATGTTTTGCGTACATTAATTGTTTGAAATCATTCACACAGATTGTTCCTGGAAAAAGAGTTGTTAAAGCACACCAATTAAAATGAAATTGAGTAAAAGACAAAATAAGTGCAGAAATTAAAGTATTCTTATCATTTTATCCATCATCCAGGTAATTGTTACTAACAAGACAGATTTTTAATCCAACCACAAACATTTACTTTTCATAAATATCAATAAAAATAGGTGTTTTTGGAGGTGCTACGCTCTCTATAATGGACGGTTTAATTGTATTTACAGAAAGATAAAGAATCGATTCATTTTTACCACTGCAATCAATTCTGATTCCTGTTTTAACAACAGAACAGAAATACAACACGAACCATAATCAGGAAGTTTGCGCTTCTCTACACAGGTCAAATCGAAAGTCAGTGAATCCATAAACTTATGCCAAATTCCAGATTCATCATATTTATCTATTTTCCAATCTACGATAACCCAAATTAACATAACTCGTGAGGAAGAGCAATGATTGATCATTATTCAGATTCATAACCGTTATGAATAACTTTGAGTTTGATGACCACGAATTATCTATGAATTAATCACGTAACTATAAAGGTAATAAGAGATACATATTGAATGTTTTGAAGAGTACTTTGGGGTGGAAGTGACTGAGAGAGTTTACTTTGAGTTCCATAGGATGAAACAGCCGTCTAGTGCTTTTAGGTTCTCAGTGATGGTCTAAGATCAATCGGTTCAAGATCTCAATGAAAGTTAAGTACCTAAACTATTGAATTAAAACTTCCCCGTTAACTTTAAAAAAAATTCATACAAATTGATATGCAGTAATGAAAATAAAATATTATTGTTCATTGAGCGTGGAGTAATAGGCATTTAGTCCAATTAACTATCAAATATATGATTTCCCTTCCTGTCATTAATATCTACTCTGGATTGGCTGACAATGACTATTTGTAATTGTATTGAATAAAGTGTTAATCTAGTTCTTTATTCTGTATACAGCCTCTGCCAGAGAAGTCCTACTCACTGCCTTCTCGTGGCGGGGGTGTTGTCTACGAAAATGAGAGGACGAAAAGCCAATGTCCGGCGCTTTAACCGGATCTAAAATCAATGGTGCACATGGGCTCCAGTATCCTTCAGGAACAAATGGCGTATGAACCAATCGTTGGTCACCGGCTACCATGGGACTGTATCTCCTTACGATGCTCCACTGCTTTGTGGATCAGACCTTCAGGTTAAACGCTCAGGGTATGGCCCCCTAAGAAAACCACCTACTTCAGTCTGGGCACCCGGGAAGTATCACAGCCCATACACACAGACACAAATATGGTGTGGCGCATATATATTTGGTGCCCTCTTGTACCAATATTTATGTGTTCAAATAAAATAAAATAAAAATCTTTATTCTGAGTAATAAATCCTGATTCCGGTATAATGTAACTAGTCTTATTATCGTATTAACGTCTTATCGTAATATACTACAGAGAGAGCGGGAGAGAGAGAGACAGAAAATATTTTAAACAATCCATTATATCATAAATATTCCATGGAACTTGAAAAATAAATCACATATTGTATATAAATGAATTTATTTACTAGTTTATAATGGAATGAAAACCTTTTTTGTTTATTTTTTGAAAAACAAAAAATGTTAGTACATTGTAATTAGACAAGTTTTTCATCTTTATAAGTTTATATAAACATTTTTCATAATTCTCAGTGTATTATTGATGATGATGATTTTAATGGAAAATGTTTAGTATCATTTACCTGGACTTAGATTTTATAGTTTTATCATTATTGGATCTCTTAAACTATTTCATTATATCACCCTGAATATTAGAATTAAAAACAAGTGAATTATATACTTTATATAAATATTCTTACTTTCGAATTCAAAGCAACTTCCACTATATCTTTTAAACTTTGATCATTTTCATCTGGAGAGATTTTTAATAAAATAGGAGTTTTTTTCAATAATTGATTTCGAGCTGATAATACCTATGAAAAGATCATTTTTATTTATTAAGTAACATATTTAAGAGATTAAGTAGCATAACTATTGAATAAATCTGGTTATAATTCCATAATATATGCGATTTAACAGAAACCATTTTTTTTAAAAAAAAAACCGATACTATTTTATTTTCAGAAGGGGTTTTGTGGAGTTAGACCACCATGGGAAACCTGTAATCACTGGACAGCTGTTTCGTTCTAGTATGGGACTCCTAAGCCGTGCGCATCCACGACCTCGCCCCCTGCGAGATTCAAACCCAGGACCTACTGGTTTCGCGCGCGAGCACTTAACCACTAGACCACTGAGCTAGAGCATCTAACGGTGTTAATGTCTAACTTCAACCAATCCACGAAGTTGCGCCACCGTACACCATTGTCTTTGGTGAGTTGATATCTCACAACCGACTATTTTATTTACTAATGAAGTTATTGAGTAGTATAGAATAACACTAAGAATATCTAAATTTGTAAAATTATTCCTAGCGATATAATCAAACAAATGCAATTAGAACGAGAAATATAGAAAACTGATGGGAAAAATAAGATTTTTTCTTATGAAAAAAAATGTATTGAACAATAATGATAACCAAACTGATAAGATTATCATTTTAATATTTCATATACAACGTCATTCAATGTTTATAAATCTATAAAATATAGTTGACTGATAAAATTACAGTTATGTGAAGTATAAATGAATCAATATAGCCGAGATGAATACCAACTGAAATTCTAAAGCATCGACAATTTCATTCGATTAAACAGAAATAAGCAACTAGTGACCATCCTGTAAAGAGCTTCATAATACTACGCCTAAATAAGTAAAGTAAGAAATTCTGTTGAATAATAAAAAATCAACACCAATTTTTTAAAAATTCTATGACAGTGTCAAATTTCAACGACAAATAAGAAGAATTAAAACGAACTAATGAACTGGGAAAATGTATACTTTAAGTAATTCTCAATATGGTATCGCTTCCGATGAACACTGTAAAATAAAGTTAATTACTTAGTTTCTTACAGTATATTAAAACTTGACATGATGGGCTACTGACGGATGCATTACATTCCAAAAGCTTCATTTGGCTTTTGCCAACTTGCGTCACCTATGGCGAAGGCGAGATATCCGTATATCGATTAAAGGACAAGTATACTGCGCGGCAGTTCGTCTTGTTCTACTTTACAGCTGCGAAACAAGGTTGCTAAGGGTAGAGGACACCCGTGAGTTACTAATATTTGGTCACAAATGTCTTAGAAATATTGCCAGCATCTGCTGGGATCACCGGGTAAGTAATAGTGAGGTTAGACCGCGGGTATTAGGAAATGATGGTAAATCAGTTGATGAGATTGTGGATCTTCGACGACTGCAATGGTTGGGCCACGTATTACTCAAGTGCAACCACGGTGCGCAATGCTGACTAGTGTTGGAGACGGATGGGAGAAAGTTAAAGCTGTATCACTACCAGAAGAATAAACTGTGAGAGTATACAGTTTAAGAACATGAATAATAAATATATTGTTTTCCACAAAAGTGAAGCTTACTCATCACAACGAGCAAAGCAAGACGTTCTCGCAGCATTACCGTTGAGATTACTCTAAGTTACTGAGTTATTTGACTTTCAGAGATTCAGTCTGAATGTCGTCACCAAACAAAGCTTGAATTTTATCGAAATTTGATTTAAACATTTATACCAAATAACAATCTCCGTATTTGGTATGTGCTAAACTTACTTTAGATAAGAGATCGCGCAATTTTTCTCTAGTCTGTAGGGAGCGTAGTCCTGGAGTATTTGGACTAGACACATTGATTACTAAATAGTCAGCTACTTCGCCAAACTTCCGAACACCTGCCACATAATCAGCAGTTGGATCTGTACTTGTTTTATTGCAGCCTAAATTGACACCAATTACACCACGGCCTAAAACAGGTTAAATTGAGAAAATGTTATATATATAAACATAATTAGCTACTTTACTAGTTACCACATATACACGTCTACTTGATTAAGTCAAACATTCACGTGAATGTTCATATATTGTGTGCAAGGCACTGGGACTACATGGATAGACAGAACTTTATAAATCAAGCAGACCGTTAAAACAGTTTACAAAATAAGTCAGCATATATACATGATTAACATGAAAACTGCAAACTTTAAACAATCATTTAACTTGAATTTACGAACAAATCCAAAAGAGTAGGGGAAGAAAATCAGTTGAACGAAAACTTTCTGTGAATGATAAATACAATGACAAAAATATGAAGGAATATTTAAATTTAGTAAAATCAGTATACTTACAATTAGCCTACCTTCCCATGGACGATCTTTGAGTCTTTCATATACAGCATCATGCCCATCACTGTTAAACCCACATCTGAAATGATAACAGAATGGAGAATGAATGAATGCGACCAGTAACACTTAGGAAAATACAATACAGATAATATAACTTGATTCGATTGTCACAACAGGCAAATCATTTAAATGCGTGAAGGTATTTGAGATGGTAAAAATACGCCGATCAGTGGGTTAGTGTTTGACTATGAAGTATTAACTAAAGGGTTAGAAACCCGCCCGATCCATTATGCTTGAGGTAATCACTTAGTAAAATTGATATACACGACAGGTGTATCTCAAAGTCAGTCCATAAACACTTAAACGGTACGTCTTATATTAAATGTAAAAGACTCCAGTATTAACAGAATGCTATATAACGTAACAAATGATCACACAATATGAGATTTGGGATTAAAAGACTAACTCTACAATATATCTTCATTGGTAGAATTTCGAACAACTGAGACCCAAGAAACAAATTCTAAATCGTGCAGAACTAACGGCCGTCTTATTTCGTTATCATACGTATTTATGCTAAGAATGAAGTATCCGCTCTAAGTCGAAAACATAGGTACAATTTATATTTTCGTCCTAACCTAAAGAGATAATTTATTCCAAATACCGGTAGTTTTCGCTCAGACGAGTAAAAGCATCTGAGTTTCCGAGTCTCTAAGACCACCACTAATTCAGTTTCCTTTCCAAGTCTCTCAAGGAGAAATAAGTTTCCGTAATGTGAGCGCTCGAAAGGCAACGACTGCTCCCATACTTCTAACAACACGCGAGTTCGTCTCATTCATAATCGAACACCATTATTAACAAATATCACCTTTACTTCTATTATAAAAACTCACCCTTTGTATTTGACTTCTTTAATGTGCTACCAAAGCTAACGGTCTGCGTTCACAATATGCCATCTCAGGTCTCTTCAGATCGCGTTTTAAACTGTGTTAGAGCTTATAATGTCCGAGCACAACAGGTGTCGCAAACTAAGACCTTAGAATCTCATGTCATTCTGTGTGTCCAAAACACGGACACAGAACCCTAATATGAAGACCTACTCGACTATTTCTAGGCAGAGGTTCGGCATCGTGTGTTCGGGCACAGAGATGATAACTCAATTGGTGTCACCATCTTGAAACACCGACTTCGGTGGCTTGGACATGTTCTCCGAATGTCGTCCCAGAGAATTCCACGTCGTGCATTATTTGCCGACTCTGGGACTGGTTGGAAGAAGCGGAGAGGTGGTCAGTGCATGACATGGTGTCGTGGCATGAAAGAAAGCTGCAAAGGACTGGCTTGTGTTGGTCCTTCACGACTCCCTGGCTGGGGTCCGAGAGATGGTGCAACACAGTGGCTAGAGACGTTATCAGATATGGCTCAGAATAGAAGCCAGTGGCGATCCTGCTGTAACCTTCTTTTACTTTCTTCATAAAAAGTGGTTGTGTCTCCTTTACCTGAAAGATTTCTTCTGATTGTACCTCTTCGTCATTACTCTCTTTTTCTTTTGCGTTCCTTAGTTTTTTTTTTGTTTTTTTTTCTTTTTTTCTTTCTACTTCTCTTCGAATTCCCATTGTTTTGTGTGGCGCATATATATTGGCGCTCTCTTGTACCAATATTTATGTGTTCAAATAAATAAATAAATAATTTCTAGACAGTATGGAAAGCAAATTCAATATGCCTTTCGTATAACCTGAGAATCAACAACAACTTCTCGTGGTCTTGCCGGTGTAGGTAAAGCACGAAGTTAGGAAGCTGGAAAGGCATTTATTGACTAGATTCCTGCAGCAAGTTGCTTGTATGTTGTCCCACTAAGTGAGACATGTTGCTTTAGGAATGTTCTGCTTCAACAGCTGAATTGGTGACAGCATGTTTTGAAGGATGCCTTGATGATTACGGATCCATGAAATTCCCACCCTATAAGTGCTGTTCGTGCTTCTCTGGAAAGGCTTAGTGCAATTACTTGAGTATACAACAGCACTTCTCCCGAAGCTAATCGCTTCTGTCCAGCTTGCGTTCAATGGGTTTCACTTATTTTGAGAACCACCGAGTTGTATCCCCTCATTTTTGCGGCTATTTGCTTGGTGCTCACGGTTTCCTACATTGTTCGGACATTCTATGTACTTATAATAATTGTTACTCTGGTTATGAAAAGGACATCGGTCTCATGATTTCCGAAGAATCTCGGCTTTCATCATGAGGCATCATAACTATTATATATGGAGACTCTTCAACCTTTAGGGCAGAGTTTAAGTCGTTTAAATGATTGTTTCTGGTCAACGTTTTCTTAGCAAGGTTATTTTCTACGGGATGGAGTTGGTGACTTTATGCTCAACCCTGCTCCTTTATTCGGGCTTGAGACTGGCAGTAACCCTAGAAGGGTTACAGGCGGAGTCGAAATAGTCGTCTCCCAATCAAAGGGCATCTGTAGTGTCAGACAGTCTGCTCTATTGTACTTTATGGCTGTAAAATATAGTCTATGGAAGTAGAAGACAAATGTTAGCCAAAAGTTTAGGATTGTAGGTGTCTTTGGAACATTGCTGGCGTTTTATGAAACAACCGAGTGGGCAAAGTTGAGGTTAAACATAGAGTAGTTGGCAAGAGATGAGGTTGGAAATCATTGATTGATATGGTTAGGATATATGTTACGTAAGACCGACTATTGCCTACCTCAATAAGCGATGTTTAGTAGTGCAGAAGTAGGTTGAAAGACAACAGAGGGCGGATAAACCAAAACATGGCATCAATCCATGAATTAATTGAGCTTTGGTTTGGATCATGTTGGTAAATGCAGACTACCTGTTTGGGGTCCACATTTCAACTGTAAACTGTGGTTGAAGACTGGTACGGCCGAGGGTGGGGAAAGTTATCTCTCCCTCTCGAAATGCTCTCACATGGCTACGCGTATACAGCCACTGCCAGGGAAGTCCTACTCACTCCCTTCTTGTGGCGGGGGTATTTATTTATAATTTAAACACATAAATATTGGCACAAGGAAGTACCAAACTGATACGCGCCACATAAATCAAATGGTTTATGTGAGAGCCGGGATACTGTCAGGGTGCGCAAACCGAAACAGGTCGTTTTCTTAGGAGGCCACACCCCGAGCCCTTGACCTAAAGGTCTAATTCACAAGGTAGTGGAGCTACGTCAGAAGATGCAGTTTCATGGTAGCCGGTGACCAACGATCGGTTCATACTTCACTTGTTCCCTCAGGATGTTGGAGCCCTTGTACACCATTGGTTTGGAATCAGGGTTTTCCAACTTTCCTCAGTGGACCCTCCATATTCACTAACCCGGTTGAAGCGCTGGATAGAAGTAGTGTGACTCATTATACTGGAGTCGGAGTCGTGAATATATTAGCGTAGTGAGTGCCACTTTTCAAACCATATTCCCAAGAATTAGTCTTCTATCTTATCATTGTTGCCACATTATATCGATCTTTTCTGTTATTATTATCTTGTCATGCTAATTTGGTATGGCTATAAGCCAACGCACATCTGTACCAGGTTCTAAGTTGATGATGTCCGTTTGTTTATAAAAGCTTAACTGTATGAAGTATGGACGGTGAGTTTACATAGGTGTATGGAATGAGTGAGACAAATAGAATAATGCCAACTGAGCAATAAAACAAAGATCAATACTTACAATGATATTGCTTCAGTTCGTATGTACATAAGTTATCCATAAATATCATTATTTGCTTAATATAACTTTCCATTTAGAGTTATTCATTAAAACAGACTGAGTAAATCACACTTTAGATATGATTGTTATGGGCTACTGAAAGATTCAAACAGTTACTTTACAAAGTAGAAAGTTATCCTTACCGGTTTATTACCGCTTCTTTCTTGGTCCATCTGAATATACGAGGACGTGTGTTACCTGGCTGAGGATCCGGTGTGACAGTTCCAACTTCAATATGTGAAAATCCTGCATTTAAGAGACCCATAAATGCCTCTCCATTTTTATCAAAACCTGCAGCTAATCCTATGGGATGGTCGAATTCGAGTCCAAAAACTTTACATTTGAGGTGAGGGAATGAGTTTCGAGGTTTATGTGGTATAAAACCATGACTTGCTAAGTAAACTGATAAATTGTGGGCAGTTTCACCATCACGGACTAAGATACGGGCAGTAGGTAGAAACCAATCCTTATAGAAGTGCTCATTTCCAGAATACAAAGCTTCTGCAGTGAACAATCCAAATCCAAGACTTAAAACTCCAAGAGATGTCCTAATTCTACTCATTATTGATAATAAATCTAAAGAGTGAAATAATTTTTAAAGAAATTTATTAGTTGAGTCATTATTAAATAGCGATTGATTCTCTGTGATGTGTAAATCAACTGCCAGTATTTATTTTAACTGAGACAAAAGAAAAATCTTTGCTCAAATGTTATTGGGAGGACTTTTCTGCAAAGACTAAATTCGATTGATATCTAATCTCATACCCTAACCAATCAATAGTTCTGAAGTCATCAACCTTGTTGAATCAGTCGGCACAAAAATACGTAATTTAGAATAATCACACATGAATGAAAGCAAAGACAATTGAGGCAAACCTCTTCGTATTTGTAACAATAAGGTTACGGGATATCTTGAGATAGTATGCAGTTGATGACACGGAAATGAAAATTGAGATTAAAAAATAAAATTCAAGTTTTCCGAAATGAATGACATTAAGCAAATTGATTAACCGAAGTTTTAGAACAGTGACTGAAGGTAATAGCCTAGAGAATTCCTTATAGTTTCCAATTACAACAAGTACTGAATAGTGGTATTCAATAATGGAAAGGGACTACTGAACAATAAGCTCTTGGATTTAGATTTGTTAAAGAAATTATCTCGCAAAAGGTTATAGTTAAATATGACTATGGTGAATGGCCACCATTTGGAATGACAACTGAATGTCCAGTGTGAAAGTTTACTGTCTTTAAAAATCACGGTTAAAGTATTATTAAAGATAGTGCCGAATTTCCTAATATTCTCGTCTACAAGTCCTCTAATCAAGAAATGGTCACCATACCATACGGAACAGGCGAAATTTAATTATTTGATCTACTTACACATTTATGGCTCAGGTTATTGAAATTCTAGCAGTCACGTCTAAAAATTGAGGACGGGATAAAATTGTTATGCCATAAAATTTCGAGCCAACTTTAAAATGCAGTGTTGCAGTATTATGGCTAGTTCAAAATGCGCAAAAAAAATTTAAAATGACTTTCCTCAGATACAGGCTTATACCAGGACATGGTAGCCTTCTTAGTAAGAGGGGTGAGGACATTCCTGAAGATATTTTGTCGTGTAAGACACAGGAAGGGAACCAGCAGACAGGCCCAAAATGTTTATCAGATTCGAAGTGAAAATACCCTGTTATGCATATGGTTTTCAAATAACCTTAATATGGTGACTGGCTTTCTGAAGGACTCGCCTATATGAAGAGAAATACTTATGTGGGGTTGGGTCACAGCTTTTGCAGTAAGTACTGATATCTGAGGAATCGGAGCTTCTAAATGACTCATTAGGTAAGGTACTTTCCGAATATTAGAGGAGTCAACTAATAAAGTACCTACGGTAGGGTTTGCAAACTCAGGAATTCATGCTCGAACTTAATATGATCGTTTAACAGATAATTTTATATATTGAAGAGAAGTAAAGTCACTATTTCTTTAAAATATTTTTAACACAAAGTTAGCACATCAAGGACTCACTCAATCCAGCAGTGCAATACGAAAACGTTACCACTTTGACCTTGACGTAACGCACACTCATAAAATTAACGACTTTTTTCAAATCTGAGTATTGAGAACAAAAAGCCGAAAACTTGTTTTAGTATATTTCTAGTAGGTTTCTGAGAGTCCTTAATATCAACGTGAGCCAGTTTTTGGACTAGACACCTGTGGCATGTTCATTGGTGAGCCTAATTTGATCTGGTACACCAAAACGCAAACTGTGAATCTGTTCCATTTTGGGATTCTATGTATCATTGCCTTATCTTAATTTTTTATACATTGTGATATTTTTTCTTGTTTTTTGGATATATATTTTTTCCCTCGTACATTCTCGTACTTCATATTTCATCATGATTGAACAGACACCCAAAGTACTTAAGCTTAAAACATTGTCCCCACCTTCGTTCCAACTGATGCACTTCTGGCCAGACAGCATTGAAGCCTGGTTCTATTACTCGGAAGCCGACTTCTCCGAGCACGACGTGATCGACACACGTGCACGATTCCCCACAGTAGTCAAAGCACTACCGCGCGAATTCAAAAAGTACGTAACACCTAGCATGTTTACTAGTAATGTTTCTTAACCCTACGAAATACAGAAACGATCTATCCTTAAATGCGGAGACCTAACCGGTCGACAGAGGTTAGACCAACTCCTTAATATCATTGACCTGCAACACGGTTCTGCGACAGACATGTTGCAAAGAATAAGAGAGTTTATCGGCCAATGAACCTTTGATGATGACCTATTCATACAACTTTTCTCATCAAAACTTCCTCAACAGGTGCAAGCCGTGCTGGTCTCGTTTCAAAACAACGCCGTAGACGAGCTGGCTGCATCTGCCAACCGCACTTTAGAAATCACCAAGTCTTCTAATACCGAGGTTTTTTCAGTCAAAGAAAAGCCTCAAGCGACCCAGAATGTTATAACAGAGTTATGTCATACACTTACACGTTACCTTAAGTTTCGTAACGACCGTAAACGGTCACACGTCCCTCGGAGAAGCACTTCACGTAAGCGATCTATCTCTAGACCACGAGAGACGGATAAACACGACTGGTGCTGGTATCATATCCAGTATGGAAAGTCTTCCAGAAATTGCAGAAAACACTTCCTTGAACAGTATCCAAGGAATCGACCTTCAGCTTCAAGAAAAAGACATTGGTCTTCAGCACGAGTTATTGTTAACAACCCGTGAACTGCGCACTAAACAGATAGGAACAGGTAAGGAAACCTCGCTTTGTGACACATCTTCAGGTAGGGATCGCCCAATCGTGCCGAAAAATTATCGACGCAACGTCTTCAGTACGTTGCACAAACTTTCTCATCCAGGTGTTCGTGCAATCGTCAATCTTATAGCAGAACGGTTTTGCTGACCTAGCATGAATAAAGACGTGAGGGAGTGGGCACGCTCCTGTGTAATCTGCCAAAACTATAAGGTTATCAGACACAATAAATGTCCCTTAAGCTCATTTAAAACTCTCGACGCTCGTTTCGACCATGTTCATCTGCTTTTCGTAAGACCTTTGCCAGATTTAAATGGATGGTCCTATCTCTTAACTTGTGTAGACCGTTTCACTCGATGGCCAGAAGCAGTACCTATCAAGGACACCCCTGCTGAAATAGTGGCTCGCGCCTTCGTCGAACGATGGGTAGCAAACTTCGGCTGCCCTGCAACTATCACTACAGACCGCGGACGTCAGTTCGAATCGGAACTTTTCCGTCGTCTGATCACATCTTTAGGAATCACGTCGGGCTCACCAATGAAGATGCCACAGGTATTCAGAGTTTAACAACGCTTTAACTAATAACACCTTCTAATATGAAGCGTACCCACCAAGTGAAAATCAAAAGACAGAAGCGAGGAGGTTCGAAGATATATTTGATATGTTATCACTATATCGAGAATCGTCGGATCTAATCTGGCAAGCGATTGCAAAAGATGTTGAGCACGGCGTCCCCATTCGTGATCTGGTGCGGATGCATGACCGAGCGCCTTCAGCCAGGTGAGTCCAGTTGCATGTCGTATTTAGTGCGTTTTTTAACTATGTATTAAATCATAGACATCCACTTAGTTAAGTAGAGTGCTTTGACGCAGTCAGCATCTCATTTATCAGTGAGCGGAGTCAGCCATTTATAAGGCTCACCATAAGTGTAATGAATGTCCTCAAGTGTTTTAGGTTATCCAGGTAAGTATACTGTAATCGTCTGAGTATGATTATTGAGTCTTTAAGTTTGACTATGAACATATACTTTATATCGTTGATTCTCATAATGGGACGGGTTATTGTGTATAATTATGTGATCTCCGCGTAAGGTTATATAGATTAGGCTTTTATATCATGATTTCATGAAAGACAAAGGTCTTTCAAAATGGCACAGCATACAGAAAACTCGCTAAGCCTAACTGCCACACTGTTATGTGCATACATTATTGAAGGCAAAAACGTGTAGGCATTTTGTTTCACTATCTAACAATACGACGCAATGGTACTAAAGAAGTAAATTTAAGATTCAATAACAATCGACGAGAGGACCGAGTTTAATCATCTAGTGTATGTCAAATTGGCCCAGCTCGGTGTGCACAAAGTATCAATTTCGGTTGGTAACGTTTCAGTCCAGAAGCTTGTGAAAAGTTCACTGTCCGGTTCCAAAATATACATCCAGTATATTCTCAATCGAGCTAAGCACCTTACATAAATCAATACTTACAATATGAACGAGGTGCAAATAAGTGTTCAAAGTACTAGGCTACTTCAAAATTCTGAAAATTATGTTCCTTAGAGTTCAGCCGTTTAAAGGACGATAATATCCAACAACTTCACATAACGACGTGACAGGCATTGGAAGTGTCACAGATGGAGTACAGTGGAAAAAATCTATTTATAAATAAAATTAACTATACTCGACTGATACGTTTCCGGCTGGTAAAGATATCTGACAAAAATCAACTATCATAATAAGGGAAATATCCCTATCAGTTAAACAATAATACTTTAACCAGAGAAAAGGGATAGATAAGTTAAGATTACTACAGTAACAATTAAGTAAGAAGTACGATTGGTTAATAGTTGACAATAACAAACTTTTACAAAACAAACAGGGAACATGATTCCAAATTAACCAAATGGAATGGAGGCAATCAGTTCACAAATTATGAACCACGGTACAGCAGTTCAACATGGAAACCGACACGAAAACGTTAAGTGAGTCGATATCAGGGAGTTAGTTAGGATTAAGGATTGGTAAGCATCATAGTAATAATAATTGGAAGCAGATCGAAAATGGAAACTAACGCTTGAAAACGCAAAAAACACTAGATGCAGCAATGTAGCAGTCATAATGAAAAACATACGTAGAGAGACATTCTATACATTCCCACAGAAATGTATCATAGCGGATTTTGCAAAGTGAGCTTAGATAAACTAAAATTTCGATTTTGGCAAGGGAGCTCTAAGATCAATGAAATTGAAGAAGTACATTTGATAGTCTGGTTTATCGAGATGTCAAGAATAACAAATACCTTAGCTTGAAACATCTACATGACAGACCACTTGATAAGTTGACTGGGCTTTCAGTAATGGAAACATATGGATTCAGTCCTTTATTATTCTCAATACTCCTACACAGCTCCATACCCAAATAAATCATTAACATTTTCTGTACATACCTATCCACATAAACCTTTTTTTACCATGTTTCTGACGAAATATGATTATTAGTTTATCGGTACGAGTTCGAGATTAAGCGACAAAAAATATACTTCTATCTATGCACTTTTATCCTACATGAACCTCTAATCGGTAACATAATTGTAGAGATATGTAACAGTGTATGTGATCTGCTTCGATGTATCACATCGAATTTTTCTTATCCTAACAATTTGTTGATACATGTAAGTACGAAATGAGCGCATGATGGAGTCATTTACAATAGTCTGTATAATCATGTACAAAAACGTTCCTCTGATGAATTACTTACTAAAAAATCTATAAAAATCAAGGAGTTAGTCACAAATCAGAAATTGTCAACAATGTACTAACGGCAACTGTGGGCAAACCATATTAAAAACGAACAAACGACAATAGAAGCACTATTAATGGAAACGATATGCACAAAGAAAGAACAAGGAACCTGTTGTGGTGTAAACGTACACGGAGAGATTTTCTCTTATGTTCGCACAGGGACATGCCCAAGCAGATTCTAGAAAATGTCAGTGATAGTGTTGAATAATGTATTTTAGCTCGTATTTTACCACCACGACCACTAAGCTCATGTTTGATATTCATCATTAGTGGAAATGCTAGAAGGATTCGTAAGTCAGATGTGGTGGAGGAGCGGAAATTAGTTTTACATGTATGAGAATAACCCGCATATTAAGGTTTTATTACGTCAACCTACGCTATACTATCAGCTTTTTCTAATAAAACGTGCTCATAGCAAAGTAAGCTTCTGCGTTCTGTTACCGCAAACAAGGAAAGGGCTATCACATAAAAAACTCATTCAATTTGCCATTCGTAACTAATATTGAGACTGGCTAAGATTAAATTATGTAGGAAATATTACTAATAAAAGCTAGATATATTATTATGAGAAAGACTAGTTTGTAGTGTGACGTCGAGTCGTGCTTAACTATGATCACCAGTATAGAAAGACTACGTGCCAGTTAACCGATAAGATCTCCTGAAGGCCAAACTTCAGAAAGCTACTGATGACTGTAATCGAGATGTATTTGTTGGCGATCTCGTGGTATCTAAAGAATACCGAGTTCGTGCCAGGTTACAAGTGTGGTTACTGAGCATAATCGTATTCGTGCAAGGTCACAAGTAACGAAAGGGAGAATGTCTTTAGTAAGGCCAAACAAACAAGGAAAACTATCACTGGTACAATAAGTTATATTGATAATTATTTTCACTACACAAATCGCGTTCTCTTAATAAAAGTAGGTAACTACAAGTTCAGCGATGAGTTCTCTTTTCGACGAATTCATTTTCAAAGCTGTACAATCGCAAATATATATGCTTACTTTTACATGATGA